TCACTTTCCGAACCTTTTGTCATATTGGACCACAGCGGAGGACGAGGAGGGGAAGCTGGATATCGTGACCATATTATTACAACGAGTAAGTCTCTTCATTCGTCAGGTTGGGCATAAATGTCAAATGATCTCCAGCATGGCTATCATCATCATGGCCTAGGAGCAGTGGTATCATGATGGCGTCGTGGTATCAGGATGGCGTGGCCTGCTCTGGGCGATGCTACCTTTGTGTCATCACTTTTATTGCTGTCCTATCTATCTAGCCATCTATCTCTCCCATAATATTTATTATTACATTGCGTTTTTATTACCACTCGGTATAATTTAAGGCGACGCATCAATACCCTTCAGCTGGAAGGTTATAAATATATCGCGGTGGACACGTCGTGCCACATCCACATCGCGTAGTAGTAGATGGTTCGGTAATTAATAGGAATGGGCTCAAAGCGCAATGTGAATGAGAAATGCTTTAACTGCGTGCGTACTACATCTTTCCAGAGCAGAGAGAGAGAGAGCATAATGATTCATGTAAATGTCATGAACAAATAGAGAGCTTGTTGATGTCGTCTGCATGCATTCCACGTGGTGGAGAAAGCACTTTTGAAATTTTGCACTTTATCTTCCTCCTTCATTGTGATTCATCTAAATTCTAACACTTTTCAATTATGCATAATATGGGTAAGTCCCATTTCGGTGAGAGAAGGGGAGAGAGGAGTCTAAAAGTTTTCAAGTGGACGATGAATTTCAAATAAATATATCGGCGAGGAACGTCCCAAGTTATGGCATTCTTCTCAAATTGTGAATTGTGCGTGGGAGATGAAACGAATTGAATATTGAAATTTGTGTTGAGTGAGCCCCTGAAATCCTTCAGTTTCGCCCACCTTTATTGCATTCGTATTTACAGCCATATTTGTTTATTTAAGATAATTTTTGTATATTCAATTCTATCTGATTGGTTATTGTTAAAAGTTTTTGAGCAATCGATATTGTGTATTCGGATTGGCGAAAAGCATCAAAGTTAACCAGGTAAGCGTACAGCTTTAATTGGGGTACGAGTGGTCAAGATTTGGTAAGGAATAATTATTTGCTACGAATCGACCTGTCCTTTCGTCTGGCAACACACATTTTTGTCTTCTATGAATTTGATACTTGTCAATTTGACATTCATTGACTGTTCTAAAAAAAGATCTTTTCATTTGTGAAACCTGCAGCGTCAACACATTCGTTGTTGGGAGCATTTATCAAACAGAGGTTAAGGGTGCATGGAGGTTAAGGATGGGGAACGAGTGATGAGTATAGAGTTATGCAATAATACACATACGTATGCACAAACATAGGTATTTTCAAAAAACGCAAAAACATCCCACTCTCAGGAGCAGTTCATCAGGAGGAGAGAAAAGAACGGGCCGATGGCAAATAGCAATAATCATGATCCAAGAGAATGGTTCTTAAATGGAGCAGTAAATTCCCTCAAAGTGTATCAGCATTTCCAGATTTGTTTACAAACCAAGAAAATCTCTTTATTTATGTTGTTTGTCTACAGATAAACCAGGAAAGTTGTGCCAACCCGTCTCATGTCGTCCCACTCAAATTGCACAAGTCAACTCATCTCTGACAGAATTGGTTTACTCAGGGAATTGAATTGGATTACTTGGTGGAGAAAGTCACCCATTATTACACAACCCGCAGTATCTAGTTGTCAAACAAAGAAACAAACCCGTCCATGACCAACTTTTGTAAGTACGAAATATATTGAAAATGGAGGATGATTATGGGGTAATGTTCGCAAGTGGGGAAAGTGTAAAATAAGCCTGGTATCAAGAGCTTATATCACACAAAATCATATACCAAACCACCACCACGACCAAAACAACGACCATAACTACCATAACGCTCCAAGGCTTCCATTCAACGTTTTGATGTGAATCACAGGAAATTATTATGATTGCATTAAGTGGCACGTAAACAAACATTTTGTTTATGTTTCAGCTTACGTAGAATTAAACATATTTCTTGTCCTCTTAATTTTACACAATCTCACCTCGACACGCTTGGAACATTTTTTTTCTCAAAATAAAAACCAATTTCCGTTCAAACCAGTGGAATAAATGGTGATTGAGATTTGAATGAGTGGCAGAAAACATGCTGCCGTTTGTTCCACTCTGCTTTCACTTTGCAAGATTGACCTTGATCCCCACATTCGTTGGTCTCTCTTATTCCCCATTACACTCACACATTTCACTCACTCAACTTCAGGAGCAGAAATGTATCAATGCAGATCAGGACGGCGATGAGGTAAGTAAAGTTGGAAGAAGAAGTGAGAAGGGCGAAATATGACGAGGAGACGGATAGACGGAGGAGAAGGAGGATGGATATAGTAAGCAAAAGAGTACATGGACCATGTACCGAGACGATATAAAATATATGGTTGTCGTTGGTTTTGGTGGAAAATATACCAAGCGAAAAAAATCTAGATTCGGCTTGGCGTGAACTGAATTCCAGAGTTCGTTTGTTCTCTATCACTTTAAGACGAAACTTTCAAAGGGTTAAATCCCTCACAGGCATCATTCCGTTTCGTATTCCGCTCGGATTTATTATATTGAATTGAATACTGCTGCTGCGAGTTGTGCAAGGTACAGTTAAAAGGGGGCTGCTCACTCACTTTTCGTATTGTACTCAAAGTTATGAGAGCTTATAGTTGGAATAGATTTATCCCTCTTCCCGTTGCTCCCAGTGTCAACATTTCATGACAGAAAGTATGGAAAGGTCCTCCGCTTCTTCTTTCTCTTTCCAATGCGGATGCCTTTGTGCAGGCAGTACTTAACCTCGGCGTCGGGTGAGCGAGCCCCACTCAGGACCAGAGCAGAAACAGAATGTCTTTAATAATAGTGCAAGCAATGCATCAACGACGAGAACTACTTGTGAAGTGCTTACTGTAAGACAATCCTAACACTAAACACTACTTGACTAAAATATAGCCGTCGCTTTACAAGGTTCGATCCATGAATGAAGCAAATCAACGGCTCTACATATGTATATGTGTGTATGTACCGATGCTGTTCCATGCCTGATCATCCAACCGACCACATTTGCTGCCACTGCAGAAGTTATTTCGGGGTCAGTCAGACCGTCCCCAGGCAAAGGATGAAAGTCTTCCAAACTACAATTTGGTCATGAATGACACGCTTTGGCGAACCAGCCACACACAACTTAAACCTAGAACTTGTTAAACTAAAGTTTTTGCAAGATTCGGCTCCTGCGAATTGATAAAGTTTAATGACTGACTGGTCTTCGGTAGTTATATAAGAATAAAATTATACAGGATGGAATAAAACTGAATAAATTGTTAGGAAGGAGTTATAATGACCGACCAAATCAATGAAGGATGAGGGAGCTGAATATCTCACGGCATACATAGAGAGTGGATCACACAATTCGCACACGCTATGAAGTATGCAGATTTGGATGGAGAAAGTAACAAGTGAGTTGTTATAACATTATTAAGGCTGATATTTATGGGGCACTAGCATTTAAAAGTTACATTTTAAACAAGAAATTGTGAAGGCAATTTCTTGGCATGGAGAAAATATGTTGAAAAACCAGCGAAGAAGCGATTTGGAACTAAATATTTACGTATATTGTATATATGTCATATTTAGATCTTAGAAAACTGAACAAAGAACTCGATCTTGCTCGCCCCAAGTTTTTAATCTAATTTTCAACAATTAGATAATGTAAGAATCAGTTATCTATTTATTATCATAAAGCCAAATTCGGTATTACTTAATTCAAGAGACCGGATTCAAATACTCATAACAAGAGTTGCGCTCAGAACGTGGTACCTGATTCGAAAAGCACCACAACAATTGTTACTACGATGATCATTATAAAAGTTCCAATTAGATTTATACCTAATTTAGAAACCAACGCTAATGTAAATTCTCTACCCAAGGAAGGAATATGGGATGGCCTCAATAGTTTTGATGACAGTTTAAACGAGGGAAAACTTTGTGTGCTTGTTTTCCATCCCGTCGCGTGGGTGTGGCGAACGCGGTATGGCTCTGGACCTTAACTTCTGGGGGATTTTGCTAACCTCATAAGATGCAACAAAGCACCAAAAGAATATCAATTTCTTTGAGTTTAAGAGTTACGAAGATTTTAATCCCTTCTCATTTGAGATACATTATGCGTGTAAGGTTTTTGTAGGTAAGTCATCGTCAGAGTCATGCAATTCGAAACAAGAAATGTTTCTATTCAAATAAAAATATATATTTCATGTAGCAGGAAATTCATTTTTTCCGAAAGATATGGCATACAAAAAGTAAGCCACTGTCAAATAAGAATATCTCAAGTAAGTGGATGTATGTAAATACATTTGCAGAGATAACATAAAAGTTTTACACCCTAATTTCATCATGAAGAGTGATTTAAATTGATCGAATTTACAAGAATTTAGGTATTTGGCATTCCAGAAAACGTTGGCATTTGACGAAGAAAAGGGAAACCAGCGCTGCTCACTGAGTAGAAATGAAATTGGGGATCGTGCTTTGGCGTTGGTTTGAGCGGACAGAGGACCCTGCAATGCCGTATTCTACTTATTCTCTCATTCCTCTAATGGATTTTGGCAAGCTTGTTCTTGGACGATTAAAAACCTCTCTCATTCTCCTCGCTAGCTTAAATTTCTGAACTAAAAGTAATAAGTACGAGATTTCGAGGGTCAGTTGGGTATTATTTGTACGAGAAGATTGCAAATAATAAGGGATTAATTAACACTCACAGTCAGACATTAACTCTCATGCTTTCATAGTTAACAAGTGTTAATTGAGGGCCGCATACACTGAAATGGCGCATTGTTTGCCGGAAATCGTTAGGGTACATTGTACGGAACATATATTACTATTGAGCCATTTTCAAAATTTGCAAACATGAGAACAATTTTTTTATCGCTGGTTACCATCTTCTCTTCTATAGTTCTCATAAAACAGAATCTTAAAATCCCAAAAACAATTTATGTTTTTGAGATTAATTCACAACCCAATTGAAAAAAATCTTTTTCTACATTAATTCATGCAACGTTTGAAATTACTAAAGCCAGAGCAAAATGACTTAAGGTGAAATTTGATACTTTAATGATATTACTATTTACTGGAGGAAATCATACAGTGAAATTCGATAAGTTTAAATGACGAGAAGTTTGCAGTGATTTATGCTGCAGACATGCCATCAGTAAATTATATGAGGATCTGGAAATGGACTGGACACATGCTTAAATTCTCGCGTTATGAAAAATGAGAATGCGAAATATTTTCTCATGGAATGAGATTTATTTATTTTTTACTACGAACAAAATAAAATTAGTCATATCTAAATTTGAACTATACAAATGAAAGACTTGCATTGTTAGTTTAGGTAGCGAATTAAAGTTAATTCATTCATTCCGTTCATTCATTCAACTAAATATGCTGCGCAGCCAGAAAGCAGCTGCATTTCAAGCCAGTTCCAACGTTGGTTAATTAATAACGCAGAGCCCGATCCACTAAAATTGTAAGTTACGTTAAAAAGCAAAACTTAAAATTAGTATATGATAGCATAAGCATCATAAATATTTTCATTAGCATTGGAATATCAGTGACGACATTGACGACCATGGACGCTGTTGACGTAGGATTGTCGTCACCAGATAAGCGGCATGAAGATACACCATCCAATCCTCCCAGGACTCCACTTTCCTTAGACCAGGCCACAATTATTCTTGCAAAACATACTTTGGCCACGCCCTGTCTTAAAGTGCTTCACCATGACCGCATCCTCAACCCCAGAAACACAACTTACACGCTAACTTCATCCGATGGGAAGGATTACATCCTCCGATTTTCGGAGAGTTGGGGAACAAAGACGGAAAATGAGGTGGCAGCAATTTCCTATATCGCCAAAAATACGAGTCTCCCTGTCCCAAAAGTGGTGGGATTTTGTACCGATTCCGCCGAATCTCCTACCAAATACGAATATATTCTTATGGAAAAATTAAGGGGCGTCCCGATCGGTTACCTCTTCAAAAACTTGTCCCTATCCAAAAAGATTACCGTGGTTAGAAACATGACCAAGATTTTGAAGATATTCCAATCTCTTACGTTCGACCAATGCGGGTCGTTCTATTTTAACAAGACGGACACGGAATCTAAAGTAGAAATGAAAGACGTCAAAGTCGGTCCCTTATTCAGATCACCACACTGTTCACCCTTCTCAAATTATCTCGAATATCTACAACAACTCATTAATTCCGGAATTGAGCGGATGCAAACATCACGCATCTTGATGGACGGAGAAGGACCCGTTTTACTTGAAAGAATACAAAATTTTAGAGATAAAGTCTGTAATCTCGAAACCACTCCACTTTCTGAGAAAGTTAAAAATGTTCAGTTCGTCTTTACTCATTTGGATCTGCACTCGTTCAACATTCTGATTGACGAGGAGACATTCGAAATTACGGGAGTGATAGATTTCGAGTTTTCCGGAGTTCATCCCATTGACCAAGATTGGTTCGAATGCTTCAGTTTTGCTGGCATTTGCAACAAATCGAGAGATGTTTTTGGAGATGGAAGTAAGTGCGTAAATTACAAAATCATCCCTCCAAAACATATGAAATCTGTGTATTTCGTATGTATACACAACTAAAAATCCTTCCTAAACATTCATTCGTAATTTCGTTTAGTGAGAACCATGTCTGATTCGGGTACAGGATTTGATTCCCAAAAAGACCAAGATTTACCCGAGTTAAAAGTTCACTTTTTCCAAGAATGTAAAATTCAAGGCGTCCAAACTCCAGAAGATATTATTGGCCATGAAGAAAGAGCGATGCTGCATTACTTCGTCAAGTATATTTACCCCTGGTGGATTACTGAGGAAGTGGACGACCCACTACCGGAAAAATGGATCCTCGAAAGAAATTCTATTAGGGAAAGGCTAAAAGTTGTGCTTGATATGTATGGCGTGTAATGTTGTTCTATTAATATTAGATTTTCATTCCACAATTCTCTATTCAGAAATTTTTATATGCTTGAAGTGAAAGTAAAGAAGCACGATTATTACTCTAAACAATTCATTTATATTTTATGCACGCTTGTGAATTCCAAGACACGGCATTCTGTACATAATCCATAATTCTGAAACCGAGCTCCGATCACATTAAGGTTTCATGCATCACTTTGAAGGTATTTAGTTGTGACGAAAGGGATAAGAAGGTGAATCTTGGTTCATCATTTTGAGAAATATGATCCTTTGCCAGGACTCCAACACAACTATTTATTCGAACATTTATACCAACAAACTACACTACAACTATCTAACTGACCCATGTATGTATATATATGTTAGTTTAACTTGTGTTTGTTTAACCAATGCCTTTTTTTATTTTCAAATTTTTGAATTTGTCCATAAATATCATCATTTGTATTTTATGAAAGTACGATTTCGGGCATTTCCTGCTGTAGATTTCTGGGCATGAGGGTGTGTAGCGAAAGGGGAAAGTAGAAGAGTAGGAGAAAGTTTGATCGAAATTGTGACAGGATCATCACTTCGTCCATCATATCATGATATAGGTACATATATAATATACCAGTTCTTGCAGGTATTTTCATTTAAACGTGCAGTAGGACACGGAGCTTCATATCTTCATTATCACCAGTACCGTAGGTGTGAGCTGCAGTGGTTTAAGTACAACGCTCTTCCTGTTAAGATTTGCTGCAGTACAAAACTGATAATACATACCTGAGTTTATATTTAGATTCGGTTTGAAACGCAAATTTTCAAACTAAAAATAAGTACAATACATAACAAAGTGCAAAAATGTTACCAGAGAAATTTGCACACGCAAGTGGCACGAGTGCGTCGACACTGTCTGAATCGCCTTTTCGAGGTTCATCAGGATATTACACTTACACAAGTCCTCCACGAGCTGTTCATGGGAAATTCAAACGCTACCGAAACAATATTACAAAGTAAGAATTAGATAACTAATTATATTGCAATAGTTTTAGGCGAGATTGTTGGGAATTAGTTAGTCTAAATCAAGCAATCTTATGTCACATGTCAGTTAAAAATTAGTAAAGTAATCAGATTTGCAATGGGACCACAATTTGAATAGTTAGTAACACAACATATGAAAATGGCAAATTTTATCCTACCAAATATTAGGAGTGTGCATGCTTTTTCTTGTTAAGATAGATATATACAATGAAATAGTGTTTTTTTCGGCTTACAACGATTTTCGAGTTTGATGGCTTAAAATGTGTGTAATATTTAGTAGATCAAAAATCCGTAATAAAATAGGGGTGGTTCTCCAGCAGTTTTCGAGATCTGAGCCAAAATGTGCTAACTTTATGCTAATTTTGAATTTTGTGTCAAACTCGTCAAAATATGGTCGAATATGACTGGAAAAAATTCATACATTTATTTTGGACCATATTTTGGTCGCTTCCTTGATTTCTGACCCCAATTTTCCAATATGTTGAACTTTGCAAAATAATTGCATTTTCCATATTAGTATTCCACGATCGAATTATTGAATTTTGGTTCGCATTTTAAGGTAACCCATAGGTCTAATAATGGAGCGAAATCGCTAGATAGAATCCGTTACTTATTCCAATTTTTTAACGAACTAACAATGTTGTTAATAATTCGAAATTATGTAAATAAGTAACTCTTCGACGTTTGCAATTATAGCCTTAAATTTGGAGACCACAGTTATAACAAATTTGAACGAAATCTAAGTTATAATATGAATAATGAGTTTCTGTTTAAGATTACAATGGATTCCTGATAATATGTCCTGTTGCTAATTCGGAATTTTGTTAATTTGTAAATTAATACAAAGTTTTGTTAACTACTCGGAATTTGTTAATGCCGCTTTGACTTGTTATAAGAATACAATTTAATTTATTACTTTTACATTACAAAGCTGTATGTAAAAGTATAACAACGTGTTAATTAATAATTATAAAGTAATAATGTAATTAGTTTTTTTTAAATAATATTAGTAATAATTATTAATAATCGTCGTTCGAAGAATCAGACTTGGTCTAAAAATGCCTTAGTCCGAAATACCTTCGACGTCGACGTCAATTGTTTCATCATCTCCTTCTTCAACAGTCACCCAGCCACCCTCATCAGAAGAAGAATCGTCACTGTTATTGGCATTATTAGCACCCTCATTGTTGGAATTTTCAGCATTATTATGATTTGCATTTTCAGCATCATCGCTTTCATAGTGCATGCTTTCGTCATCATCGTATTCTAGTTTATCTACCTCATTGTCACTATCATCGTCGTCTTCATTGTTGTTGGCAGTTTCAGCATCATCTTCGTCATTAGAATTTTCAGAATCATCTTCGTCATTAGAATTTTCAGAATCATCTTCGTCATTAGAATTTTCAGAATCATCACTTTCGTCATCACTGTCATCATCACCGGTTTCTGCTTCCAACTCGTCGTCACTATCTTCGTCGTGATCCTTTTTATTACTGTTTTTTAGCAATCGGGTCCACTTCTTGCTGCAGTGTGGAACACCTTCGCCAGCCTCTTGTTCTTCTTCTTCCAAGGCGACAGGATCATCATGTTCTTCAATGATGCGTTCAACGTCTTTCCACTTGTAGAAAAATGACGCGGGGGGAAGGTAGGGACGCTTGATGCCCGCCTTGAGGGACTTTGTGCGAGAAAATCGTGAATAATGGACGTAGATCTCCTCCTCAAAATCGTTCAAGTTGTCAAAACCTTCCTTCGGTTTCAACTTGAGGCCTCGAATATGAATCGCAGATGCCACACTTTGAGGATTGCTAGGACGGAAAGTTCCTACAACGAGAAAACGGAACAATTATTCACTCACTAATACGTAACTAAAATAATATTATTACGCAATTGGTTAAATAAGAATATTAAACTCACTTCGATCAAATGTTCGTTGTTTGACGCCATTTTTGTCGTTCCAAGTCCCCCAGTATTCATCTCGACTTTGTATGTACTTGTCCAGAGAGGTAATGGTTGCCAGTAGAATGTCCCTGTTAAACATTTCCATCATACGTACAAGTTGCTCTTCAGTTGGGGGCTGTTGAGGATTCGCTGGGAAGCAAAACGGAGTGGCTGATGGCAACGTTTTCTCCTTCACCTCTGTCAGCTTTGTCAGAATGTCAGGCAAGTGTCGATATTGGAACACATTGTAGCGAGTCATTGCATACGCCTCGTGGTACTAGTCAAGTAAAAAATTTTGAGGTTTCAAAATCAATACATAAATTATAAAAAGATTAGCTTTAAAAATTCAAGTATTAATTATATACCTCTTCCAGTGTAGAGTGCTTATCTGCCAAATTACGGGATAAGAGGTTGTATCGGGTCAAGCAACCTTTCCTATTCTTGAAGGAAGAAAATTGCTTAGAAATCTTTTGCCAGTTGCGATTCATCGATACAGCCAAATCCATTAATAAGCGATCTTCCGCCCTACATAGATAAAATCATTGCATTTTTGTAAATGATAATAATTATGTAGTAATTACTACAAATATTATTATAAATGTGTTTCTTCCGACTCACAAAGTCCAAGGGACAATCCAATCGTTGAATAGATTGGTAGCACGGTCGCGCCAAGTGGTTTCATACCGCCATGGAAGATATTGCAACATATAGCCAAAATGTCCCTCATCACAGAGAAAAGGTTTCAAACGTTGCATGGTTAGAAGTAACAAGCAGTCTTCCGTACGAGAAAACGGTCCCACTTTGATGAACGGATTCAGCTTTTTGTACCGCTCCTGTGCCACCCTTTTCGTAATTCCCTCATGATTCAGCGATGCGGCAACCTTTTGCCAATGTCCTGGATTTTCTTGAATTCCTGTTTTGAGTTTTTCGTCCATTTCTTTAGTCCACACGGGTTTTGGGGGAGGAGCAACATGTGTTATGTAGCGTTTCATGCACTGAAATGCTGTATGTGGCAGAGTCGGTTGACCATTCCTATCGACGCTGATTCGTCTGGCGATCTCGTCCCAGTCCTGCACCTTCTCCACGTCGTTCAGATGTTGAATTTGCTTGGTTTGTTCAGCTGTCAATCTCTTGTGATTAATCTATTTGTTAAATCAAAACAATATGTAATGATTTATGACAAATTATTATAACAGAATAATTAATTCTGTAATTATCTACCTTGGGATCAATGGCATGCGTGTATGTGCGACTGCAATCATCAGCAGACCGCAATTTCTTTGTTCGATTCATCATTTTCAGAGAAACCTCATGCCAATCGACCAGATTGTCGTTATTTTTGTCTTTCATCAACGTGCCAAAGTTCATGTTTCGCAGGTGTTTTTCCATCATGGTTCTCCACTCGCTGAGCTGTTTGGGCAACAGTTCGTACGCAACTGTGTGATTCGGTGTACGAAACAGGACTGGATAAACAATCCCATACTTGTCACGTCTCATAGTTTCCTCCTTGGTTGGTCGTCCACGCCTTCGTTTCCGAGGAGGCTGGTTAAATTCATCGACTAGTTTCCCTTCTCGACACAGTTCGTCCTTTCGACGGATGTCCGACTCCAATAAAAGCTCCGAATAACGTCCGTTTAAGTCATCAATCCGTTGTGAAACGACACATTCTTTAATAGCTTGTTTTAAGGCTTTCAAATCCTTAGACGTCCCTAAAATTGAAGTACCAAATAATTTAATAATTAACTATTAATAAACATTAAGTACCATTGATACCGAATAATATGCTTACACTTTTGTTTCCGCACGGGAAAAGGCATGTGGTTCTTCTGAGCATTACGATTAGCATTTGGAAATTCAAATGACATTCCGTCTTCAGTTTTGAAGTAGGGAGGCTCCATCATCATTTTCACCCCTCTGATTCCAGTGATGCTCATCTCATCGAATTTGGCATCTTTCAAGTTCTCCCTGAGATATAATTCCTGAAACTTTTCCTAAGGAATCAATTATAAGAACAATTAATTGATGCTCATGTTGAATTAATTAAATATCCCTTTTTTAAGTTGATAATCAAGTGGACAAAATATTATAAAACGTGTGCTGCTCTCTGTTCACCAAAAGACTATATTTCCCTTTCCGTACTGCTTCTACATTCTCCTTTGTCTCATAGATCCGCATCGCGACGACCTGTGCCGAGCCGGCCAACTTATACAGATCCATCTTCATCCTGTTTTTTGTTTCTGAAAATTAAAAATTAATCACAACTCATTAAGTTTCATTACATCAATTACAGAAATAATGGATTAACAATTACTCTACCTCGCAGCTTGTTCGCAAATTCGATGCAATCAATTGACTTAGACTTCTTCCCATATGGAAACGGGGCAATACCAGCGGTCCTGGTGCAAAATTCCAACATTGCATACTTTTGATTATGCAAGAACACGTCTGCCAGCTCGATCAGCCACTTTTTGTTGTCAAGCCGGGCCTTAGCATCCACACAGCTCGCGATGTACACGAGATGCTCCGCTTTCAAAATTGAATTAAGGACGACAGGTGTCGATTGTTTCATTTCGTGCAGCGACATCGCTTGATTTCGTTCATCGCCAGATTGTGTCAGAACTCGGGGACCAATCCGCTTCAATCCCTCGTACTGACGGATTGTGGCCTCTTTGGAGATGTGCAATGTTCGCATCATAGTCGACACGATAGACCCAGTAAATTTCTTCAATGGCAAGGTTATATCCGCTTTAGGCATAATTTCTACAAAAAAAATAGTTAACCAATCCAATATTAATTAATTAACTTGACATTTTAACCAATAAATAATATACCAGTGATAAGCTCTACTCACCATTAGTCTTGAGCGCAGCACAGACCCGTTTCACATCAGCCTCTGAAAAAAGTCTTTCTTCTTTCGGGTCTTCAATTTCAGCTTCCGGGTTTCGACCAAGTTTTGTTTTGATTGGTGCTGCAGGAGGACAATGGTTTTGTTTTTCCATCCGCTTGTAGGACGAGGTGTTTAACAAGTCATTCCGTTCTCCACCCACAGCAACCGAAGGGCGGCGACCCAGACTGCCCGACGAACACGGTTCTTCTGCATCCTGCCACTTCTTATTTTTAATCGATGACTTCCTCCCCTCGTCGTACTCGTAATCAGACCCAGAATCAGAAGAACTTGACCCGTCGTCATCTTCATCATCGCCTTTCCATTTATACGTCGTATCACTCCTTCGTCCACCGAACATTGGAATGTCGTCGTCAGTGCTGAGGAAAGCGTCCATTTCATTATGAACAACTGATGCGTCAGGGATTTCTTCCTTAGGATCGACGACCCCTGAAAATTCGTCGCCCTCAATCTCCACTTCCACGTCCACGTCAATCGACTCTTCCTCTTCAAACTTCAACTTTACTTTGTTCTCTTTCACCTCATCACCTCATCTAGCTTGTCCGGCTCAAGCAACACCAAAGACATGTTTTCGCAGTTTATGGCTGCTTGTCTACTTGTTTTTGAATTTAAATAATAAAGATGGAGAAAGTTAGAAATGAATTAAAATTAATATCTCAAAAACTCGAACAAAAAACGAACCTAGCCTGACTGTTGCTGGCTTTCTAACGGACGAACTGATTTGAGTTGAGCGCATTTCATAAGAATTTCCATTTGAGTCTCACTCAAATTGTGTGAGACTCAAATTTACAAACATATTTTGTGCTGATTGATAGTGAGTGAGATGAAATATAAACGTGAGACGAATCTCAAAACTCTTGATTTACACCTTGCCTACTTGGCCTACTTCAGATAGAATACAGTTCCGAGCATTTTTATTCATGTCATTTTCAAATTAAGTAAAATTAAGCTATGAATAACCCACCCCTAAGAAGAGTATTATTTACGTTTTCTTAATTCTAAAGAAATTCAAAATAGTTCTGAACGGTGCTGCGAGAATGTTTCTGAGTTGTTGCAGTTTATTATTTCCTTGCTGCGGCGTAGTCGCCGATGGTGTCGAATCGTTTTTTCGCTGTTTTTTTCGGCGTGTCTTTCAAAATTAAGTGGAGAGGGGAGACTTTCGACGTCGGTGTAAATTTTAGAATGGTGGTGGGACTATAATTGAACAAAATTGGTTCGTCAATTTCCAGCATAAATTATCTGGCACGTAAAAAATACCTGGTTTTTGTATCCATCAACACTTCAGAAGATTTGTCACGATTTTTTCACCATTAGCTGCGTTAATGTGCGCTTAGTAAAAAGTTTACAGACTTGTTTCAAGGTTACAATCATGTTTATTCGCACACAACATGAAAATAATCAAATACGTAACGTATCTTGGTATTTTTATCGGCTCCGTGGGCGTGTAAAAGTATATTGCAACACTAAAATCAAAGTAATTGGGCCAGAACAAACCGGAAATGGAATGGATTAGGAGTAGAATAAAAATAGGTTGAAAATCACCCAGGGATAATCCACATTGTCCATAAAATCATGACCTAAAAGCAAATAATACTGGAATCAAGAGTGAACAGAGAATGGATAACGATTTGGGTGAAAGTCTATCCATACATATATGTCAATTACCGTCGTCGTAACTTACTCACTAGTCATACAGCCAATCAACCTCTGAGAGTTGTGAACTGAATTGGCTTGAAGATAGATTTTCTACTTGGTCGTCTATAGTGCTCCATGAAATGGTAGCATTTGTACAAAGCGAGTAATATGTAAATGGAGACATGGCAGCATAACATACACACAACATAAGAGTATGGGTAGAAAGCAGGAAAGCAGAACATTGGTAGTGGCGGAATTTCTCTCTTACGATGATATGAGATCGATAACCACCCGACCCAACCAGCAAACGAGTAAGCAAGCGATACCACAAATTGCAACGGTCTTCATTCCCTTATAGCTCGTGAGTTAGTTTAGCTCTAGCTTAGTTGGTGGTGGGCAACTCATCCTACGCGCTGCCATGCCGGCGAATCTGACCACTTCTCTGGTCAAGTTCCACTCTACGCCAAATATGGTGGTTGACAGTGGTGGGAGTGGTTCAAGTAGTAAGCATGTGACCCGGTCCATGAACAAGTACCTAGTTCCTACGAACAATAGTAGTGGTGGTGCCCCCTCGAGTCCGAGCAGCAGTGGTGATTACTGTGGGGGCAACAGACCTCCGTTCATCACGACGGTCACCAGAGGCAAATTCCTTCCCTCCAAGTTTGATCTCATGATGGTGGAAAAAAGCTTGTTCACTTTCTCCAGCCGACCTCGACCCGTGGGGTTGGTCACGAAGCATACGTGCTCCTTGACGGGGGGACCTTTGAAGGAATACAACGTCAATTGCATACCGTAATTATTTGAATTTTAATGTGTTCATTAACAAGCAATGAAACGGCGTAATGTTTGTAATTATAAATAAGGCTGTTGGGTTAGTCAGATAGGGATGGATTTTAGTGGTCATTTTAGTGTGTCGTATTTATTTTATGCAGGTGTTTGTGAAACGGGTGAAATCGGCTTTAAATGAGTTATTACATTACAACCGTTAGTTGAAAATAGAAGCTGGCTTGGTCATGTTCTTTTGCGATGATTAAAGAACCGATAGCGAGTTCATGCAGAAAAGCTATTTATTTAGTTGAATGGCGATTACGTTGAGGTGAGCATTTGGTGACCTATAGGAAAGTAAAGTAGAAAATAAAGAAAGTAAAATACTGGGATTACCTTGACATGAATATTTTATAGGGCATGTGACCATTCATACATACCTCTTCTTGCATATCAGCTCTCAAGCACTATTATTTAATTTAAAATTGGCAAAATGAAAGTTCTTTCTGCTTAAATGGAATCGGGATATTTGAGCAAATCTTAATACATTTCTTATCGCATTCAATCCTTCCTTAAGACATGTACGTATATGTCCAATCTGTCTTATTCTCTAGGCCACGCGGGGCTCACGACTACTACAATATGATGTATGACCCACACATTTTTCGAGGTCGAGCCACAACCAGCACAGCACTTCCAACTCCCAAGAACAAATTAGGAGAGAACAACGTATGCTATTCATCGGCTTACTTTTACATGTGAAGAAATGTCGACATTTTGGATATGCATTGTACATTCGATATCAATTTAATTTCAGGGGAACGAAAACAAACCTGTGGTGGTGAACAACAAGGACAATGGGACAAGTGCTGAACCCAAGGCTAGGAGAAAGCGGACCACCACAACTTTATACACTGTAAACGGTAACGGAACTGGCGGTGGTGGGAACAACCGTTACAAAATCACGACACGGGTAACGACGAGAACCAGCAAAGGACTGATGAAGTTGGCAGGTTGCAGGTGAGAAATAGAGATTTACTTTAATATTATCAAAGAAGGAATAACAAAGCTAAGAACAAGTTTCAACTCATAAGATATTCATCAATATCGAGTAAAGTTTGAGAATGTCGATAAAATAATTAAAATAATCCGATGAGCACGCTTAATAATTAATTAAGGCTTAAAGATATTTCTTCACTGGGTCGTCCCAAGGTCGATGATTTTCGATGAGATGAACTGTTCATCAGAAGGCGAACAATTTCTTGATGCTTTCCAAGTTAGCTCCTCCCACTTTGAGAAATGCTCTTATTTGGTGACACGTGTTTTATAGGGTACTAGTCTATCTCACCTTAAAATTTTTCAATTTGGCAGTCACCTCTTGTCTCGAAATATAGCTTGTGGAAAGTGGAGTTGTGAGTACTCGGTGAATTTTTTAGCCACGAGTAGTAGTAAAACGTAGTAACGACTAAATTAATTGCAGGAAGTGATTACCAATACCTACGTAAATTTACCCCTTACCTTCAATTTCATCATTAAATTTCCGCGATTCATGGTATAATTTGTGGGATGAGGGATGAGCCGAGTTAAATTAATACGTATAGTTAAATGGATTACTGCCGAATTTAGAGTTACGATACGATCTTGACGAACTTTTAATTTTTTTATTAAACAATATTTCGCTAAAATAATCTATACTCATACCCAACAGCCAACATACTCATGTTCAGACGGAACAATTTTTACAAGACTTGACCGGCGATGCATCCCCCGATGAAAGGGATGCAGTTGTCCAGACTGATTCGATTCAAGATCTCAAATGCACCACCTCGTCTTCAAATAGGGCCAAAAAGGGGGGTAGTAAAAATGGGGTTTTGCCCGCATTGGTGAAAAATGGGGTGGATGCGTCAACCCAAGTTCTTCCGGGAGAACTGTTCTCGTTCGATGAGGAAGTTCAGCCCTTGGTGGAGGCTTTAGTGGGAAAGATTCTGCAGCAGGTAGGATTTTTTTAAGAAGGGCAATTAGAATTTTGTTTCCTGTCTGTTTAGTTCCATCTTTAATGGTGCAATCATTATCTTTTTGCAGTCGATGCTGGAGACAATGGAGGAGGAAGAGATTGCTGCCTTGCAAGAGCAGCAAAACAAGTTTCTAGAAAAGAGAAAGCACGAGGAAAAGTTGTTGAAACAATTGCAGGAGGAGCAGCGAAAGATTAGCGAAGAGAAAGTAATACATATTTCCATAATTATTTATTATTTTCTGCGATACATTTCTTCAAAATGTTACAAAAAATACAATTCGCAATTTAATGTACAGGAAAAACTGAAACTGCAGCTGAATGGGGGCACCGTGTACGACAGCGGCGAGGGCACATCTGCCACGATTCAGCATCCCCAAGAGCTGTTAAGTATTCAAGACCGTGTGATATTGGATCAAGCCATCCGTTCAGCTTCAAGAAATCAGCCAAATGTTCCCACGTCCTATTTGATTGAGCTGTTACCTTCCGTCCTTAATTCTTTACGACAGGAGGGATATCTCTCGGAGGTTGGAGATGGAGGTGAGTTGTGACCAAGCATGGCTTTTGATGGTTTTGACTACAACGAGGAAAAGGCGACAATTTATCTGGCTTGTAGAGGAAACCGGGTCAGCAAATAATTCCCAACTTAATTACTTTCACTTAGTGAAATTACACGGAAAAATGTTCCCATTGTCTCAACCACTCACAAATATCGCGTTCACTCTGTGTGCACGGTTCAATCAATCAATCACAGGTCTTTCTCTCCATTCTCTCAAATGTCCTAATGGAGAGTGTATTGATTATCACATAACTCGCCTCCTCGTAGGACGTAAACCTCAACTTTTATTTCACCGGGGAGGCAGTACTTGCTCACAGTTACAGTTAGGCTGATCATCTGCAGAGGCAATTTTATGCTTCCACTACAACTACATTTGGACGGTTGGCGTACAGGTTGATTTTATTTCGAGTGAGATGTGTCAAATTAAGAAAGCGATGAAATGCCATTACGCCAAAGAATCTTCCCAAAACAGAACAATACCTAATACCCAAGTAACTCTGTAAATAATGTATTAAACGGAGAGATATTTATGATGATGGGCAGTGCACTCTCGACATGGCACTACTGTTACCGGCGGAGAAAGGCATATTGATTAAATTGATTGAAAGTGGAAAGGTGAAGTGCAATAATTCCATTCCTCCACTCGTCTATCTGCCCGACTACTTGTGGAGAATGTGGAAAATTTAATTGACATCAGACATCAAACTCGACTTTGCCGACGGAGTCTATTTATATGAATCCGAGAAGCATAAATAAGTGCATTGCATAGTTAATGACGATTTGACATTAATGGAACGAATCGATCAATCACCAACTTACTGTCTTTTTCTAGTCGCCCATCAATAAAAAATTAATCAGACTTGCAGTAGTTTTTTGCTGTTTCATTGAACCGTTGTTGTCTTTTGCAGACATATTTTCCAACTTTATTCCCATGTGGCAAAGTTCCTCTAAAGCGGAAAGCGAAGCTGGTGAACCTTTCAGAACGGGGGACAATTCTGGCTCCGCAAGTGCCGACCCGGAAGGTAATAACTGTTATTCTATAACTCCAAAACTTATGCAAGCGGTGCATAATTGCACATTAATTAGGTCATTACTATAATCAGTATGTAGTAGAGGATAGGAGGGGTTTTATCGTTTAAGCCCACTTAATCATACTGTTTTGCTTTGAGTGAACTCTAAAAAGTTAAATTTGCATGCATACGTACATCAAAAGTTAATTAGGACAAATTAAGGTTAAATACATAGATATATTGCATAAGAAGAAAATTTATATCATTTGCCAACCATTAGCGTCGAATAATATGGACAGGTGATTTTTATTGAGGAATGATAAGCCTTGATTTTATTTTTTGGGGTTTTCACTACCACTAAAATCCACCAAGCAGACCTAAAATGTCACGCTTTTGATTGCAAACAACAAACGGTGATGGCATTGTTTGTTTACCAAATAGCTGAAGCATGAAATACCCACTTCTTCTTTTCAATATGGAACACTTTTAGCAGACTCATTATCATCGTTAGTGTTCTCTTTTTTCATGCGCTTTACGCAATTTTCAAGAATCTAAAAGAAATAAAATTACTTGTGTGGAAGAGAGCTATGCGCTGTGGCGTTACATTTTGTATTATCGCGTAGCCCAGGGCTGAACAGTGTCGTTGGGCTTTATTTTAGCCGATGCAATGTAATACACACACAATATAGAAATAAACTGGCCATGCATCGTTAGATCAGTTTGACATGGTTAGCTAGAATTTTTCGGTTGAGCACAATTTTTGAAAAATTTTCCCACAACATAGAAAATAAAAACTGGTTGGTGTTGTCTGCATTAATTTTGAAATCATTGACTTTTATTTTATTTTGTTCTTCCAGACGTAATAAAACCCAACAACTCGACTGCTTCTCCGAGACCAGATGACGACAATTATGACGACAGCAGTGTTGGGAATGATAATTCTGTCAGTGACGACCGGGGTCGAGAGAATTATTCCACCCTCACCAACGTCACCCACACGACTACGAATCCCGAAGAGGAGGAGGAGGAAGAAGACCTTGATCAAACCAACATAACGACGCCAGACTCTGTGCAAGATCAGCAAACTAACAGCCGAGCTGATGTTGTAAGTTCGCCGTCCAGTGAGACCCACCCAGCCTCCATTGTCACCAAAATACCCAGCTTTGAACGCACGGACGCTAACGTGACTGCAATTGAGGGATGATCAGCAGAAATAATTATTACCAAGTACATAATTGTCATGAAATACATACACATATCTAAAGCGTAGCTGGATCCGTTGTCAATGTATAATTGTGTCCAGCATCATGATATGAACAATCCTCCCAAATCTTTAACATTGCTACCTGTGAATTTGACAACAATTAAATAACAACGACCCATACATACTGAACAATTGAGCTGAAATGGTAACCAAGCTGGTAAATACATGCTTCACTGTAATACATACACTATACATACATCGGAATGAGAGTATACATAACGTGTGTAAGCTATATCCGAACGCGTAGTTTTAGTTTGAATATTTTATGCTGTGGCCAATAAAGTCTGATTATATATTTACACAGAGCATCAAATCCATTTAATATTCTGCTTACACATCCAATTTGATGAGGACAATGGAGGAAATACCAGCTGCATTTACGTCAACTTTGACAAAATGACTTACATACATATATCCGAAATCTCCAATATCCGCATTTCCCTTCACACATTATTCATTCACCCTTCCGCTGCTGGGCAAATCGTGTAACTAGTCATGCTTGGTTTTTGAACTGCTTTTACAATCTGCGCAATGTTTATTAGCTTCTTAAAGAAAAATATAAACCTAAATGAGATGGCACGAGCCAAAGAGAAGGAGGAACATCTGCCCTCGTCAGAAGAGGGGCACGCATTGCTGGAGAAGAAAATCTTCTACGTAGAATAATGCCATGCGGACAGCGGACATTTCTGAAGCAGATGAAAATGAAGTATATATTTGTAAAATGAACCCAAACATGATCCATGGCAGGCAGGCTTGCGGTTTGGTGTGGGTGGGTCGATGTGTATGATTTTAAACCCTAATATGCATCCACCTTTTGCTTACTTTAAGTTTGCCAAATAAATAAAAGATCCTCACCCTGAAATGCACACCGCTGTGTATGTATGCATACATACACTCGTTTTTGGGATACTCATTACCAGAAAGCTGCAAAATGTCAAGGTTTCATAAACAATGGTGGTTTTACAAACCGTCAAAAACCACGCCATATCAGGAAGTTGTTCTCCTCGTCCCACAAGAGGACAAAACAAACATGAAAAACAATTTACATTTTACAAAATGTTAATGATTGTTTATTCGTTGCAAGTGCACCCATAAAACAAAACAGTAGACAAGAAATTACCAAGTTTGGACGGTGCTAGAGAGGATATTAGACATACGTACGTACAACTGGGGAAAGGAAGCCACTCAAAGTTTATGAAGCGAGAAGAACCTCATTACAAAATTATCCCCCACTTTATTTTGAGTTCTCGGCATTTCCACTGATTTCCAAGTCTGCATGCACTTCAAACGCTGTCTTCTATCACCTCTCGAACCAGAAATAAACAAACATTGGTGGTAATAAAGCATGTAAATGTTCTACATATATTTAGAGTAGACTGTGCATAAATTTGTGTATGTACTATTCATTCGTATGTACATACATACCGAGGTACGTGCGACGGAATGGTAGCAAAGTTTGGAAATTAACTTTACCACTGAGAACTATCAAGCAAATGGACAGCACAGAGGATAATGAAATGTGTCTATAAACGAGATTACTCACGATTGCATGCAAACTTTAATTACCAATAAATAAAGATATCCTGACGATATAAAACCTTGGATGACTTAATGGCTTAAAAATCTCAGGTTTATTGAACACGATTACGAGATGAGAAAATGCCAAATCATGGCGTAGCTTAAATACATGTATCCTGCATGTGCGGATAGGGCATGCAAAAAATAAAATACCATTCATTATACTACGTTTACCAATCTGGGAGATTTTGTCAATGATCAATTAACGAAAAGAATGGTCCATTCGTATATTTATGACCTCTGTCAAAGTTTTAGACAGTCTAAAAAGACAGGATACAGCAAAAAAATGGCAGATTTGCATTGTATTGTGCACAATAGTAGCCTGCTGTAATTTATCTTTATTCAAACAGGTACTGAACTAATCTCAATTTTAAACTTTGTTCAATCTCTTGAAATCTATTGAAACGTGAAATCTTGAAATATTTAAAACATGTCTTCTGAAGAAAGTTTATTCCATTACAACGTCAAACAAAAGCGGTATTTCCTTCCTACCACCGCTCCACTTTGAAAGTGCGTAAGTCGTCGAAACTGAGGTAGAAGGTGTTGGAAGTAATTGCTAATGCACATTACACGAATGTACGCTTGTTCGAGATGGCAATCATCATGAAGTGTCTGCAAGTCTCTGCTGCCTGGCGTCTTTGAAATTTTTACAGAATTCATCATCATCATCCCCTCTTCGCTCACTAAAGCCGACGACGATCAAGCAACCAAAGCAACACATTATTACCTCAGGGTATTTAAACAATAGACTAAAGTTTGCATGCTGGCCGTGCATCAAGATTTCAGAGAGATGCTGCTTGCTGATGAGAACAACAGCGGCACACAAACTGATGGCATGGCTGTGAATAGTTCGTCCTCCACAGAAACAAAAATTAAACGCCATAAAAATTAGCTGGGCTACGCAACGCATGCAGATACGCAACTGCTGAGGCTGCACTACGTATTTTTCAATTTGAAATATCGCATGATTTCTTAAACTTGTCATGTTTTAGCAAAAAAGTATCACGTTAAGGCCACTTAAGCTAATAAATACTACGCAAGTCGTCTTGTTAGTCTTAGGAAGGCGAGGAATACACAACAAGCAGGTTCAGGAAAAAAAGTGGTGCTGTAAAATAAGGAAATTTACTTGAGAATGAGTGCCCAGAATATCTCAGCGTGATGGAGAAGAACTTTGTTCATCTTGACAGAATTCATCGCCTCCAGGAGGAATTCCAATGATGAAGAAGCTGACTGTTTTTGTCTCATGCTTGAAGCAGAGGAATATATTTGTATGTTGTAAACACGTAACCCCTTGGGCGTTGGAAATGCTAAGTCTTCCTCCTCTCTCTCTCGTCCTTAGAGAATCCTAATACCAATACCTCGTGGGATTGAATGCTCATTTTTCTCTTTGGATTTTCCTCTCGGGGAAAGAAAGAAATAAAAAGTATTAAATGTCTCCGTGTCACTTTCACAGTTAATTTTGAGCAATTATTTGCTCAACCAACGCGTGTTTTGTATAAAGGTAGTGATAAATGATATCGGAAGCGGTAATGAACTGAAGGCCATGTCAAACAGGCATATTCTTTCTTTCATGCATCCTACAGATATGGAATGGCTCGATAGTTTCCTCCTATTCGAATTCAGCTCATCATCATCTTGATCACGATGATTAAACCTCCGTGCAATAATTATCAACGGAAAATGAGTGGTTACTTTTCCGGTTGTTATTATTAAATTGAATGAACTTGCGTATTAGGGTTTATCATGAAAATGAATTATCCACCATGGAGTCCACCTGCTTCTCTTAAATCCCCTCTGTGGTTTGAAATTGGATGGTGTAAAAGGTGTTAGAATTACCTGGACGAAGAGCGAGAGAGATGAATTTACAGCACATTTGTTTATTTATAGTGTTGTGTTCTGCCCGTAATAAACTGAGGATGTGGTGTGGTACGTATCATTCCTGCATGCATGATAATATGCAAGTGTTGTGTGGGAATAGTCATAAAACAGTGACGACGACGGGGAGTCGTCATGTCGCTCATCTCCTCGCTGAAAGTATGCCCATATTAAGCCAAATTTTAGTTTATTTTGTTGACTGGGGTTCATTGATGGGTTGTTTTATTCTCAGCCAATTAATGCATCCCAATCTAATCGGTTAATTAAGTTGCGTCTCATCGGATGATGAGACGGATGATGATGATTTATAGGGCGACCCAAATTATTCATGGGATGAGTAGCATAGCTCCCAGCCTTATCTTGTGCCAGTAAGCAACTGGGAGGAGCAGGAGTAATACTTTAATAGCATCACAAGAGGATGAAATGATGATTATTATCATGTAGTCAAACAAAAGTTCATCAACTACGAAAGCTTGAAAACTAACTAAAGAGGAAAGTTACTTAAAAAGATGCTTGAAATATGCGTTACTTTTCAAGTGTCAAAATTCCAGTTGTTTTTATTTATGAGGTAATCCTCGCAGGAATGATTACTGATGTTTTGCTCGAACTATACGAGTATTTCATTCGAGGATAAATTGATCTCCCACTTATTTCACTCTTTCTTCAGGAAGGTAGTCACTGCAACGAGCCCATTTCATCATTAATTTTCCGAGATTGATGGTATGATTTGTAAGACGAGAGATGAGCCAGGTTTGCTAACAAGCCCGATTCAACAACTACTAATCCCCAGAACTTTACGGTGTGCATGGGCTTCACTACAATGAATTGATCTGTTTATTTTTGTGGAAAATTCAATTGTGCAAGTAAGTACATACATTCGTAAGTAAATAGAATAGTGAGCCTGAACGAGGGTCATCCTCACATGAGGTGTTATTGGTATGTGAAACGAACACTTGACATATCGGGTGAAGGACTCGGAAAAAGGGCAACGAAACAGATCCTGGTTGGGTGGGATGACTACATGTTTTGTTCCCATTTCTACGCTCCGAGAACAAGTAAGCTCTTGTGCAATTTGCAAACGTCGGACTCGTAATCATGTCATGAATAACGCTCATTTTGTAAATCCCTGGAAGTCTCTCACCGTTTGAAATTGTGTCATGAAGAAAGAAAATTGGGCGGTTTTAAAACCTCTTAATTTTCAGGAGTAGTAGTAAAACACGCGCAATGATCCCAATTGGAGAAAATGGTTTATTTTACAGAGAACGGACTGACATGAGCGAGGGAAAACGGCATCGCACACAGTATTTTACAAGATGCGACGAAATTGTTCCCATGTCTTTCCGCTTCCCTCTTCTGGGGGGAGAAGAGGGTCATAGAACGACCATCAGCTAGAAGAAGAACCAGCCACTCCTGCCTGACGTGCTGTTGTTGGTTTCCAATGAGTCGTCGTCCTTCGTTCAAACATAGGGACGTTAAACCGTATAAGCCATACATAAATGAGTAAAAGAGTACTTGGTTTTGCCTGCATTAAAGGAATTGTATTTTGAAAAGGCACCACCATTACGTGCATCCACTACCCCATATTACCACTGCCACCACTATATTCCCATCACACTTAAAACTCACCCTCCTCATCATAGGGATGCAATCCCCTAAAAGCACAGAATTGTAGCATAAAAGCCTCCGTAGCACAGAACAACTCTCTTCTCTATCTATTTGATATTTAACGACGTTCTTCTGTTACGTTGGTTTGGTTCGATGATGTTAAGCATGGTGGTAAGTGGTGGTGGTGGAGAAAAACACCCTAAATAAGCCGATCCATCCACGATACCATGATGTTGGGAAGACAGTTCGTTACGAGAATTGAGAAGGGAAGGACGAGATAATATTGCTTCTTCCGTCCCTCTCAACGAAATTCTGTGTAGATACCTCGTCCTCAGTTTCCTGTATTTGCGAGCACATCCTGAAATTATTGAATATTACCTGTCGCTACTTTTACTCATACTGGTCAGTAAATTTGTGGAGTGGATTTCTACTTTCGAGCAAATTTTCTGGGAAATTTAGTACTCTTCTGTGTTCAAGAATGGGAAATACTTGATAGCGTGGATTGAAGGACTTGCTGTGCGGTATCGAAGCGCAAGAGGAGTGAAAAGCCTTTCTTCTCCTTTTCTGTTGTGGGAAACACCACAATGTGGACGATGAAGTAAGGAAAGTCTCTACCAATTACCGCATCGCTTCATCTCGCACGTTTAATCAAGCGTTGAATTCATTTGCTGTGGGTTTCATAGCGGATGCAAAAGGGAAAAAAAGGAGTAAAATGTGTTGATTTTCCACCAAACTTGAACCATATTCCAATCTCATCTTGGTGGTTTGAATAAGTAGAGCAAGTTGGATTTTTGCGTGGTAGAGAATATTTTCGAGATTGATGAACAATATCGAAATCGTGATTCGTAATGCCGTTGGTTCATCGAATTATCGCTCCTGTCAACGTGAGCGATGGCAAATTGGAACTCAAGGGGAAGTATGAATGCGAATTCGTTGCGGTCAACAATTCCACGTTGGTGAATGTTTTGCGACAACTGGCCGCATTGGTGGAGCATGCGAGCGACATATTTTCGGAAACGGCAACCCTCACGGATCAGGTTGGGAGGAGGATTCGATCCGTGAAACTGAGGTTGGATGAATTGGAGGCAAAAACGGAACTCTTTGACCCAAAATTGGTCCCTGTTCGTAAGTAGAAAAAAACATTTTATTTTACACTGAAATAAATGGATTGGGCAAATAATGTGCACTCGTAAGATGATTAGTGCATATGTGTTCATACTCACACAATTGAGAAATATGACGATTATCCTGGCAAATCCGTGGTAAATGAATAGTTAAGAGAAAATCGGTTAATCGAATTAGCTGGGTTAAGAGGGGTTATTTCTTGCTCTGCATACGCATTAGATTTTTATGCACAGCACTTTAGCTTAGTTTTTCGTAGGGGGCATGTTAAACCAAGATTATACTAAGTAATTGTATTGTAGAAGACTTATGTATGTCGAGCAGAGTAGAAAACGCGTCTTCTCAGCCTTATTTCCAAACTAAGAAAGAATTAAAGCCATTAAATTTGACAAGAAGGCAAAAACAAGCAAAAACTCAAGTATGCAAGCATGGAGAGAAGTAGCAATTTTGTCCGTAAATAAACTCTGTACATACTCCTGTTAATGGCTCGTCGTCTGATATGAGGAAACAATGCAGTCGAGTTTTTTTGAACATGTTGTTGAGACAGCTCACAAGAAGTCGAGGACTCCTGAGTTGAATTGTTCCTTAATAAATTGTTCATTTCTCGATTTTTTCCCATTTTCTGAAATGGTTGCAATGGGGTGTGCAAGTAATCTCATTGGCACACACTCGGTGCATAGGTACATACGTATGTAGGTACATCAAGGTCCGTGTATGTAGTTGAAGAGGAAATTTTTCAGGAGTTGATTTCCACTTCTTCATGGCTGTCAGTATAATTGGATTTTGCCACATTATAATATCACATGTCTTCGTCTGAAAGGTAAGAGTAGTATCAAGCAGTCGTAAAGTAAAGCGACTTCTACGACGATACGACGACTGATTGGTGTAGTCGGCAAAAGTTGAAAATGCACGCGACAAATTTAACTCACAATTTCTTGTTTATGTACGAAATTTCATTAAATTACAAACTCATGCACGTGGATAATTGGCCACAATTCAAAAACTGGCTTCTTCCAAGAAAAACGTTTTTAGGAAAGACGAGATAAAAGCATTTTGACTGAATTGCATTTGACTCATCATCATCACATCATGCTTCCTTGCGCATCTGGGCAGAACCTCATTCAGACCAGACTGTTTTAAGTCTTTTCAGACTGCGAATTTAGTTTTGCGTCTCAATTTGAATATTTTTTTTTGCTTCGGTGAAACACGACATCAAGTTGACTAGTTTGCAATACAAACTCTCAAACTCATTCCTTTCATAAATTTGATTCAATTACCAATTTGCAATAGACTTGTTCATTAATCATTCCGCATAAGTTAATGGATAACCAAGCAAATAGAGACAAATTTAGCCAGCGGGTCTATATCAGCAAATTTCCTATCATGCTGGCTGCTGCTGCTGGTCAAAATCTCGACTCAAGTAGTCAAGCAGTGGTTTAATCTAATCCTCTCACTCTTGACTTGACTTTTGTAAAGAGCTTTTCAGACAATGATGATAACGTGTAACGCGAATAATGTGTAATAACCGTGCAAAGTAAGTTCTTTCTGTTGGATGGGAGCAAAAATGTAAAAAGGATGCAGAAGGGGGTTCCGTCTAGCCAAGTAGGTGAAGAATTGTTAAGCTGGTAGTTCGTGTATGAAAAATTTTACTAGGTTTAGGTTTAGGTAGACAGAGCATTTTGGTTTTCCATATGGATACCTTTCGCCTTGCACTACCCCGTGAACCTGATAATTATAGTCTATCAGCATGAACTAAAGGTAGGTATTTTTGCACAGTAATGATCTGCCCATATCCTAAAACTATCCTAAAACCCTGCAATTTTAGCCCTAATACTGTAACACTACACAGTTACCTATACTTTTTTTTATTGCACTCCTCCTCTGCGTGAGCTATTCCCATTTTGTTTCTGCAGATAGAAAATAATAATGTGTGCAAATTCTGTCGCGATTCTTAAGTACAGAGTTTATTTTGTTACGCATTTTAAACTTTTATTCTCTAACAGTTACCTCACCTTCACAAAGTTAATCTGTTGTGCTAGGTGGGGGTGGAACAGATCTGGCTGACAGATTGCAGGTGGTATTATAAAGCGGCCGTTGATTGTTTTACTCGCAAAGTCAATGATTTACCCAAGGGCGTAGCAACAAAACCGTCTGCGAGAGGCTGCACGCTACAAATAAATATTTTGGATTTTGAGAAACATTAGAGCTGGATTGTTCACCTATTTTTTGCAGTAAGGTCATCATAGCACATAAGACGACGTTACATCGAGAATTTATATGTATAATAACGAGCAAGTTAGTGAAGCCAAAATTGAGCATGTGTAATTCTATCTTCTTTTGTATATAGAAAATGATTGGCTCCTGCCCTGGGAAAAATTAGCCTTTTAAGGATATGCAATTAGTATCTCTCCCAGGCAGGGAAGGAAGGAGTAAAATAACACATGCACACAAAGACAATGGTCGGCATGTAAAGCAAAGTGATGGGCGAAAAGAAAATGAACCGCACATAAAAAGGAATAAAAAAAACTATGTGAGGTTTACCTTGAAAGCACTTTTGAAATAAATTTGCTCTGTGGTTTGGGTTTTCTTTCATATCAACAGCTGGCCAAGGGAGGAAATGATGTCGTTCGTGATAATCAAATGAGGTTTGTCAATAGATTTTCAAAGATTTGCACATGCTCATGTCCTTCCTTCGCTATGAAGTTTTGAGACATGGTGAGACAGAAGGTTAATGAATTTGTAAAGAAGTTTTGATTAAGATTCTGATTAATATATAATAAAGCTTTGCCATACATTTCGCCAAAGAATGTGAGAAAGTTGGTAAAAATTGTGAATGGGACAAGCGAATGAAGAAAACATTCGTAATGAATAAAGAATTAGCATATAAAAAAAAGTGTTTTCTAATGCGTGTCTATTTTTATGCTTTTATCCTAATGGTTTTGTTAATTGACATTCACCAAGACCCAAAAAAGAGAATGATAATGGGGAACTTTTTTCCACTCCGTTCGTGATCCACTCTCCGCCACTAAATACCAAATTCTCTTATTATTACTTATTTGATTTTGGTTAACAAAATCAAATGTTTACCAAATTGATTTATTCGTTGATTCATGCATCCTGCCAAGTTCTGAAATGAGTGGGTCTTATCAAATACCTTGTTCACTTCACTATTTACTTATCATCAACATCAGCAGAATAAGGAATGTACATCCATTGATTCGTGGCTTTGAAATCATGACATGTTCCGTGTGTCCTTGTTGTTATATTAAATGTTGAATTCGTGATTCAGGAGAAGTTTATGGTCGTGTTGTCAGCCACTACTGACTGATGAACAGTGTTGCTTGCACGTACATTTGCCCAACCCAGGACAGGAAGGAGAGAAGAAAGTCCACTTATCCGATTAAATTACATGCCCACAAAGTAGTCAAAGGAAATGCGTAGAGTGCCAAGACTTGCACACATACACACTTATCGTTAACTCCTGTACATGTACAATGGCATTATCGATGTAAAGGAAATGCAGATAGACGGAGATAGAGATTCAAACAGATATTTTGAACGGATACCGATATAAATAATATCAACGACGTGTTATCTGGTCAATCAATCAATAAATTATATTTTATTGGTGTTCATAAAATTGGTATAACGACCATAAGTACATATTTGGACACAGACGGACGAATGCATCATGCACATCGTCACTTGAATGTTCATAGTTCAAACGTGAAATATTCTAATTGTGTTTTTACACAAATTTTCAAATCAATCAAGTCGAGTCAACCTCCGTCCTCCTTGCATTTGTTGGATTATTGCTGTTGAAAGGATTTTTATGATGGACGGACGGACGGGGATGTGATCCAAGTCAAGTTTCATGACAGACCAAAGACCAAAGACACGATATCATGATATGCAAATTATACACACTCACAATGATCCAGCTCGTTGGAATTGTTTCATTCACTTAGCATATTCATTTTCATAACGTCTCTATTACAAAGAAGAGAAGCAAGCAGATGGGCATTCGGAGAGAAAGAAAGGTCTCTCTGTCATGCCAATAAACTAGACTCGAACCAGCCAACAATGAGCCAGTGCTCACTATTGTTTCTTCCAAAAGATGGACGAGCAAGCAAACAGTCGTCCAACAAGCCAAAAGTAATGAAACGAAACCCTTTGTCTCTGAATTATTTAAGGGTCGGTTTTTCCCCACATTTCGAATCAACTTATTGGAATAATCAGCTGCATCATCATAATCATCATCATTACATCATCTGTTGTTATTCTGCTACATAGTCGTTGCATGATATGGCATCAGGCAAATAGAAACAGAGTCGACTATTTAGTTGGTTTTCGTGCTAGAGATGAATTGAACTTGGTTGGATACTTTTATTGGCTCTCTTTGTCTTCATTTACTTTTTTGACCAGTTAGGTTTTTGACAAGAAGAATCGGAAATGCATGCAGTTGAGTTAAACACATTTGCAATGCCTCACCAACAACAACATCAGCCAGCTACGTATACTTTTCTGAATTGAATGATTATTCCATGGAATTCTCACATCATTTATTCCAATCATTTCGCTAGCATGATGCAATAAATCAGAAATAATGTTAGTTTGTATGTTCAATTTACTCCTGCATGGGTTTGCGTGACGTGAGTGGTGTGTTGCAACGTTCGTTACGTGAATTTGATGATAATTTTAGAAAATCAAACAGAATCAGAGGATGATAAAGACTAGAGAAGAGTCGTGTTGTGGAGAGATAAAGACAATAAAATGCAGACTTTCCTCTTACAGTATTGATTTGATCACGTGATATTTATTACTTTGGCATGATACGAAAAATATCCAGAATTTTGTTGTCTGCTGACATTGACTTAGAGTGTCATTATCGTAAAAATGGGAAATAAAATCATGTCATGGTTTCCGATTGGATTTGGAGTGGGAAGCGAATTATAGATCGATGAGTATGAATCCCCACATGGAAACCCGTATGACCGATGGCAGCGTTTTTTGGTGGTGTGGTGCTCGAGAAGAATAAGGGTCCACTGCTGCTGCTGCATACGAGTGCATACATATGTATGGACTTTCATTCATTCATAATAAATAAATGAACAATGACACGAAATAATGCAGAGATCAGCTCTTCTTCTGGTGTCATATGTGGAGTAAAAAGGGAGAGCAAACCAACCAACAATAAAATGCCCGTGTCTCTTATGTATTCCCATAGTCGCAAGTCACGTTTCATTTCCGAGCTGATTGTGTTGTGTTGGTTTGTCCCGTATAATTTTGTAATAATAACAAATGTCTCAAATATCATCATCCCTCCTCTTCTCCTTTTGGCAGGCAAAACAGAATGTGAAAGCATGACGAAAGATTTTAAAAAGTGCCAGATTTCCATCTCATCAGATTTGAGTTGTTAACCACCACCCTTCATTAGAAGGAATTGATCTTGAACGGCATGATACCGTATCGGAAGAGCATCCAGATCCACGCTACGTTGCAGTTACATCGCATTACATACCAAGATCCTCAGATTCCAACGACGAACTTGCTAACTTTAGATGGAAACAATGTAAATTATTCCATGTTTTATGAGGGTGTGCCCAAACAATTGTTTGGTTGGTGGCTTCATATCGTACATTTTACCCTCACACTTGCTGTGCTTGCTTTTGTTTCGACACGTCAATTTCAACTGGATGCGATACTTTGTTTGTGGAAAGGAATTCAAAAAAGTGTCACAAACACGGAAAAAGTGTAAATCCATTAAAGGAAACCATAAATTCTGACACGACTTGAGCTTTCATTTTCAGTTAGACTCGTTTATCAGCCTCGACTGAGCTAAATACTTATTGAGCGTTAGTAAATAAAATACTTATAAATAAGCTCATCATCATCTCCTGTAAGTGTTATGAAAAGGAACACATTAACATTGATGAAATTAAGTGTAAGCAGCAAACTTGTCGTTATTTAATGTATGTATACAATAAATTAAATGAAAGAGAAACTCGAAACGACTTGGAGAGTCTGGAATCCGGTTAAAGACGATGCTGGATGCGGAATCTGGATTGAGTTTCCAGTTTTTGTTCAGTGATTATAAAACCACAAGGACCTAGATTTCTTTGAACTACTTTTTTTGGCAGGATGGATACAATTTGTAGAGAAAGGGCTGCACTGGATTTTCTGTGTGTCCAGCTTCAAGGTCCAGTCTCCAGTGTATCAAGGGAGCAACATTTATGTAGATTTAAATCGTGGTTAGATTATCCCTTGGAAAAAACCAAGTGCACCAACTTACTAACCACTAACCAGACACCTTCTTCTCTCGCGTTCTCCATCTTCTCCTCAAACAAAGAGACCTGCATTCGAATGCATTTTAGAGATTAAATACGATGATAAAGCTTCTCAAACCCGGATGGACATGTGCACGTATTTATTGTGTAAGTAGAGTAAAAATGTTTTAAAAGCTCGCATGGGTTCAAAGATTCATCGTAAATACTTCTATATTTTGGAAGAGAACAATTTAAAAGCGGAAATATTGACACATGCAACTCATTCGTAATAAAGTATAAAAGACGTCATAAATAGTTACACAAAGTGCAGGCAGCAGAGAATAGGACTCTAAATATCCTGCTCTTCTATGGGTAATGAAGACGTATTTATATGGGGATGGGGAACTAAAAAAAAATGGGGACAGATTGTGCCGACTGAAATGCCCACATTTGTTCATCATCCTATATTTAAAACCAATGGGACATTTACCACATCTGACGTGCTTTGCAACTCGTGCCGTACTGCTGTCCTTCATAACTTCGGTTTCGGATAACATGCACGAGACGGTGAGAAAATAACCCGTGTGGCATCATATCCGCTCTTCACATCTGTGAACCTGTATCCAACATTTAATCCCATTTTGGAATGAAAACTCATCCCGACGTTGACACAACTCTTCTTCGCATGCAGATCTCTAAACACAATATGTCAAAAACTGAAACTGTTATAAACAACCTGTGAGATGATGGATTGAATAAGTTTTTCACGGTAAATGCCATCGCTCGGTGAGAGATTATGATTCATTATGTGTAAGCTGTTTATCCTGACCGATTTCAAAAGTTGAAGAAATACTACGTCCATAATCTATCCAAAGGAAGCCAGAATCATGCATGACAAAATGGGCATTTATGGAAAGAATACCATAACCGTACCGAGCATACTTTCATCATCCCACTGTTGGGAAATCACCACCATGGAATTTTCAAAGAAGGACAATTTTTCAATGGGAAGAAAGAGAGAATAAAAAGCATGAACTGGACGTTTTTCTCGTGGTGATAGTATTGTAAATGACCAAAAGACACATCCTGGACATTCAACAGTGATAATAGTACAACAACATTCCTGTTCTTTCCCTTTGAATATATTTTCCTCCTTCCTCTCGATGGTGGGTAATTGTGACTTGGGCATTATTCAACAATTTTAAAACATGTTGAGAGTAAACTTTGTGTAACCTGAAAGAGACGACGTATAGGCAAGATGATCTTTCAGCTCAGGAGATGCAGAACATGGGGTAAAAAGCCATTTCCTCCCTCTTGTCTCGTTACTGAACTGCGTGTTATAAGTTTGACCGATGTGTGTGCATATTTGTAAATGCTTGGTTAAGTAAAGTGGAAATACTTCTTGTCTATACAAACCTTGTGAGTAATTCCCACTAGCTTTACGTTTCGTGTAAGTGTGTTATTGTTGTCGGGAGTCGGGAGCAGTTTTATTTTTGAGTTACTTTTAGTGGGTGGCGATGGAGATCTTTGGTTGGAATCATGTCTCCTCGGCTTAAATATTTTGCTTATTTTCTTACACACTTCTTCGGGGTGGTTTGGTTTAATAAACCAGCTTTATGTGGAGGGTGACTCTCTATGAGGACGGGTTTTTTAAGAAGATTTCAACATTTTTGTACCTACAGAAATTATTAAAATTTGTGTGTACAGTAAACGGCGAGATTTTACATAAGTTGAACTTTATCTTTTTCATGATTATCTTTGTGTGGTCATTTATTCTCCTGGACAATTTCTCTCCAAGTGCTGCACACTGTTTGACCAGCATGTTCATGATAACATAGGAGCTTCTCTTTCTCAGATAATTTTAATGAATCGTTGAAATTCATGTAGCATCCCGACCCACACTACGCATTAAGATTTCTAGATACGACGATATACATACTGCGTTCCTTGCGCTGCTACCAACCAGGGTGGAGCAAAGATTAAAATGAATGTTCATTATTCTTTTATTTAATAAATAAACTGACCAAACAATATGAAACGAAGGGGAGGAAGAAGAAAAAGAAGAGGAAGAAGAAAAAGAAGAGGAAGAAATTTAATAATGCAACAATAACCGTGGGTCAAAGAAGATCCTGAAGCAAAGCGAAGTAAGATTTATGGTTTAAGTTAAGCCAGACTGACTCCAGCCTCACTCTCGGCAAATTAAAAAAATTGAAGAATTTATGAAGTATTTGTTCATCACAAATAAAACAAGGTAGACCCAGACCACTAAAGTAAAAGAAGAAAGAAAAGACCACGACGTGTACATAACCTCTCAAGTTTTTAAGTAGTTAAAGTACGAATAAGTTGACTTTGACTCATCATAATAATCATATTCGTTCACATTATATTGTCGTTGTACTGACATTGTTAAAGACTTAATGGTCTCGGAGAGATATCCTTTTCACTGAGCTGTTGTTGTAGCTGATTACAATTTACAACTTATTATTATTCTGTATGTCTCTCATTTTATTATGGTCTCAATTTTTCAATGTCTTTCATCCTGCTTCTCTGGAGTTGCGAAGGAAGTCGTTTGCATTTATTACCCTTTGACAAATTGGCGTATTGGTTCTTAGTTGAATAATGGGTCGTATTTTATTACTTGTGGATTTAGAGGTGATGAGGAGTTGCTCAAGTTTCATATTCTTCCAGAGACGTTTACGACCCTTTGACATTTATCCTTTTCGAGCCGGATTTTATTTAAGGTTTTCGTCCTCACTCCTTTTCGTTGTGGTAGTGGTGACACTGGCAAAAATAAGTAATCAATTGGTGAAGCTGTTAAAGTCCTGCCTGGAAATAAAATTGAAATTTATAGCGAATGAAATTGAACTCTTCGTACGTAGCGATGGGTTGCTTATACACCATTATATTTACGAGTCATTAATATTTCAGTGGTGAGATGATCATGTTGTGACAAATGGAAGGGAGGAAAAGAGCTGAGACACTGTTCTTAATGGAACCCAGAGGTCCAATATCGCTAGCACAAATATAATCATTTGCACACACATCTCATAATTCATGACATGACCACATTTGTACTATTGTGTATTGACATGATGTGCATATATTAATAGCTGTTTTGTCTTTTTCTTCCAGCGGAAGGAAGTCTCGACGATGTCTCGGTTTGTGAAAAATATGCGACACGGCTTGTTTTCGACACGAAACTGTTCTGTGCAACGAGTCGTCCACGGTTCATGGGGGTGTTGTTCGATAAGGCTGGAAACCACTGCCCCACATTCCCTCCCAGGTCACCCATCACCACGATCGAGAGGAATTATAACAAGCTCAACATTTCCAACGGGGAGCGAAGGGTGAGTTAAGATCAGAAACTTCTCAATTTTTCACTTCGCCAGCCTTGCTATTTTAATTCACCATGCACAGAGCCAAATGGTTCTTAGTCCATTAAGAAGAACAAGAATTTCTCCTTATCATTATCACCACAATTTATCTTTGTGACAAGGTCTGTTCCCCTCCTCCTCGGTTGAGATTCTCAACCTGAGACGGGAGAATACTCCCATCGTCCTTATCACTAGTTTCTTAATGAATTTTTTCTTTCTTAAATAATGAATAACTGCTAGTGGAGAAAATCATACAAAAAAATTGGCTCTGTGGCCTCAATCCCGTCTTTATTCGTTTTAACCGTATGGAAGAAGACCACTCCCCCAGGTCTGGGAGTTGAAACTACGCCGTCACGATATGCACCACGATCCCTTAACGTGTTTCTTCGTTAAAAAATTATCAGCTAATAAAATTATAACAATAATTAAGGAATAAAATTATTGTTCTCTTTTCAGCCTGCAAGTTTTGCAGCTTTGAGGGACTGGAAATTGGACGATTATTTGGACGAGAAGATTGCCACGTTGGATAAGAAGAAACAGTCGGCACACGAGCTGAGCCGCGCCTTGGCATCCCCTTTTCCAAGCCAGTTGGTCCAAGTGGACGTCACAGGTCAAGGTTTTGATCGGATGAGGAAGAGTAGGAGATCGTTGGTCATTCATACCAAGAGGATCAGGAGGTCGAAGAGAAGAAATACCATTTGTGGCTCCATGCCGAACAAAGAGTAAGTGTTTTTATTTGTTTGAATAATAACTTTACTTCCTTTTTTGGGCATGAGTAATAATCCTTGTTGGGTATCAAGTGAGGTGGGTGGTGGCTCAAATTTTGACCAACATTCCTCTTTTAGGAGTGTGTTTTATGGCGTGATTTATTGATGTGCACAAATCTATGAGTAGAGATGAGACTAGTTTTCATAACGGTAAAAATGAATTATTATGAATCTCATGACGGAAGTTTTGTACTCACTCAGGTGCGGAATCCAGACTAGTTTCTCTTCCGTTAACTCCCCCCTGGAAGAGGGAGCCGTGGTTAAAAAGTATGGGATCGATTCTGGTCACTGGAGCAGTTGTACAACCAGTTCGGCCCAAGAGGGTGCAAATGGGCCGAGAAGTACGGCTTCTGCACCTTCTCCTTGGGATCCGACTGCCTCAATTTCCACATCCTCCGACTTCCTTTTTGATGATGAGGACCGTTGCCTTACGCCGCAGTTGGAGCATTTTACGGTACTTAAACAGTAGTATATTTACATATCATAGCTCACTAAAATTCATAATGAGATGTAATGGGGATAATTAACTCAATGCTCTTATTAGGATGGCCTCGTCTCTGATTCGGACTCTGTCGACACTGACGGCTACTTCACCTCATTTCGAAGTGACTGTGGGTTCCCCAAGTCGAAAAAGTCGTCTCCAGGAGAAGCCTGCGAGGATATCAAGGAAGGGGAGGAAGGCGTTGAAGATGAGAAACAGCAACATAACGAGAGTGACTATGATCTGTTTGGAAAAGGGTCGACTTCCACAACAGCCAGCTCTTGTGGAACCGTTGTTCTTCGAAACAAACCAAATCCTCCGAGTAGGACAAGGACGAGCTCCACGGCGGTTGCAGACATGGTTTCATCACAAAAAGTAAGTTGCGTTGTTTATTGTTTGTTTTTTTAGGTAAACTTGAGAATTTTTAAAAAAGACTTTCAAAATGACATAGTCGAGGATTATAAAATGAAGCGTTATTGCACTAAATGTTCCTATGCAACTTTACTAAGTAGCAAATGTTTTCGTCGGTTTTGTTAAAGATGAGGAAAGAAGGTATAAAAGTCTGACTATACAAACAACAAGAATGAAAATGATATTAAAATACACACAGTTTATTTAAACAGAAGTAAAAAGAGCGAACTAGTTGAATGGCGCCACGGTGGGGATTCAGATTGGATAGATTTGAAATTGACGAGGAATGACATTATGTAATGACGAGGCAACAAAGGAGTAAAATTGGATTTCATTTTCGTTGTTCGTTGTTTCGTTGTTTCGTTGTTGTCAGTTTCGTTGAAGTTGACGCGATAAGCATTGTTACATATTTTGCATCTACTGCTGAGAGACTAAGATGAAAATGAAAGTTATAAAAAACACAGCCAGCATTTCTTCTATGTTCAAGATGAATTGCAAAAATTGGCCTCTTTAATTCCAACTGTTTGAGTTTTACTGATCTTAAGAGTCTTCATAGTTGAGCTGCTATATTGTCTTATTCACCATCTCTCGCAATACGAGTTCTAATAAAATGTGTGTTCCTCCTCTTTCTGCAGGACGACACAGATTTGGAGGCACGAGTAAAGCGGAAGTCCCTCATCGAATGCGTCCCTTCCCTCGTCGTAGTGACGCCGTCTCCCACTCTCAGCGGTTCCGATAGTCCGCCTCCACTTAAAGATCCTACCTTTTCGAATGAATGCTCAGAGGAAGACTCGGATCGTGACAGTGGACGCATTACCCCAAAAGCGGAAGACTTTAGTACAACGAACGACAGTGAATGTGGCACTTTGAGCGACACGGACTCTGAAATCCGAAGTGAACTCCGACCATCGAGTACGGCCAGTAGCACGGGAAGTGGAAATTCAACCATGACCCTGACCTCCGCAGCAGCCATGGTGGTAACCGCTACTGCTTCTATTCTTCCTCAGCCGGATGTTATCCCCGATGTTCAAATTATTCGGACGAAGGGTGCTCCGAAACTGGATGTGAGTCGGGAGTATTTTTCCTTGGACACTGTTCTCTTGAACTCTTCTGTCGAAGAAGAGCGTCGAGTTCTGGCACAGAATGGCGACATCATGACGAAACAGCACAGTCCAGCAGCAGAAACAAGTAGTAATCCATCTCCTTCGGGCTCTCTGCAGAGGGTACAATCTCCCCCAGGCTCCGCTACATCTGGCAAAATTAGAGGTGCTAGAGTGGTTTTGGATGCAAATGGGGAAATCATATTTGCTTCGGAAACTCTGAGAAGGAAGAAACGACCGAAAGTGTCCTTCGACCCGGGTTCTGCAGTTAAGGTTAGCCCATTTAATATATAAAAACACCATTTTAATAACTCAGGACAGAAGGATATGTTAATTTTTAAATCTCATTTGTAGTTTTGAATAAAAATCTAATCTGGTTTTGTCTTAATTTGTCTAGACGATGGACTACGACAACTTTGCCACTACGTATGGACGGATTCGTGAATCAGTGTATGACCGCATTGTCAAAAAGGATGTTGATGGGAAAGAGAATGAAAAATTGTACGAGTGCATAGAGGAAATCCGAAAGCAGAATTTGAGACATCCATATCTTCATCTCCAGGAGGAAAAGTCGATTGCAGAAATACACACAGAGTCCATGAATCTGAAAAATAACAACAATTTGGAGGAGATCGGAGCGGAGAGTAATGGACGTTGCTCATCCACCTCGTCCAATTGTTCATCCGTTGCCAGCAGTCGATACGCTTCACGGCCACCACTCAGCCCTCCGAAAGATGACAATGATGAGATTACTAAAGCAAAAAATAATATTCTCCTTTTGGAAACAGATCTCGACTCTGCAATCCCTCCTTCGATGCCAGATCTAAAAAATCTTCCCAAAATCAAGGATCGCCTTAAACGAAATGAGAGCTACCGAATGGCGAACACGGACGAGGAAGCGGCCGCAAATGCAAGGCGACCTTCTCCAACAAATTCTAACAACGCCAACAACGCCAGCTCCAGACCTGCCCTGCTCTCCCTGAGCAGCCCTCACTTGAGGATGACCATGAACAACAAACTCAACCGGAGAATGTCCTTCGCTTCGAGTAAGGACAATTCACCTCATGGGAATTTACACTTGAATAAGAAACGCGATATTCTTGAAGATCCTGGTAAGGCTGCATTTTTTTTATTAATTAACTAGAATATTTATTTGAAAACCCAGATCGTACATATAAATTTACAGGAACCATTGAAATAAATACTATAAGACAGGAACACATATCTAACTTTACACTTCAGTTCATAAAAACATTACCAATAAGAAATCATGGTAGAAAACATTTTCATAAAATCATAAAAAGGCTAACTTATTTCTTGGATGGAGTTTTCTCAACAAAATCACTTGGGGTACAAATATATCCTATATTGAAGCGGCCTTCCGGGTCATTTGTTCCTTCTTCCTGATAAATCAATAAGGGACTGGATCCGTCCTCCTTCCACCCCTTAGCAAATTGCTTGGCTTGATTCCGTAGGTCAACGTCAAGCTTGAAATTAGTGCATCCATTGATCATCCACAAAGATTTTGTTTTTTCCTCCCGTTCGGCCAGGTAGTGCTACAAATTAGAAAAATATAGCAATATTGGCATGCACATGCAAAAATAGTAAGGGAATATGAGACTTACAATCACATATTCTTCCAAGTCCTTTCTCTCCTTTTCGGACGGCATAACGAGAACAGCTACTTGAAATGCACGAACGTCTTTGGTTTGTATTTCCTCTTGCAGATTAGAAACGTATTTGCCGTCCTTTGGTTTTGAAAAATGCAATGGTCGTGCCTCAAGTCTTAATGAATAGTACTCTCCTACATAGGTTCCGTGTGGGGGAGAGTGGTCTCTCATATACTCCCAGACTTGATGAAGTGACATTCCTTAAAATCAAAAATGTTTTAAGAAATCATAAAGTTTTGCACGAAGAATGAAAATCTTTACAATATCTCACCGTCAATGAGCGACGATTCCAATGTTATCACCAAGTAGACTTGATGAGATCCATGTTCCTGTCTACGTTTCTTTGTTTGCTGAACATGACGATTTGTTCTTTCGGGGGTCGAAATACTCGCTTCAATAGCTGTAGCAATGGCGACAAACTTGTTTCCTCTTTTAATTTTCAATCCATACTCCCATTTAAATGAATTAGAATGCAGCGGAGGTGGAACAGGTCCCGCTTTTCGTGGTCGGATTTTTGAATCCGCATTCTCCTGATCCAGAATTTGTTCAAATTCTCCCTTGTCGTCAAACTCTTCTTTACTAAGGGTAGCCAAATACTTGTAAAAGTCAAGTCGACTAGCATTCTAAAAAATTACAAAATGAAATGACAACTCACAAGGGTTTTTGTGGAAGCAACATGAGATAAAATATAAAATGCAATACGTAATATATATACATCCATATGCAATACATCACATGCATTTCTGTATTTCATACCGTTTGTTCCTTTTTCTCCTCTTCTTTATCACTTATCGCATGGTTACTTTCACTTTTACTATGATTCTCCCCAATGTCCATACCAATTCTCGAATCTTCATTCTCGCTATCCCCCACAACAATCACCTCTTCTTGTTCAGTGATATCCACTGCAATCGCTTCAGTATTGTTGGATGATAAGGGAGTTGTAGAAGGCGGAAGATTCACACTCGGAACACGGCACACACCTCTTTGCACATGATCGAAAAGTTCTGTTACACTTTGGGTGCTAAATCCGCAGTGATATCCACAAAAGTGCTGAATTTTTTCATAATTGGCCTTTTTTGGGTTACGCCCAGCCATATTTACAAATTATTTGAATAAAAAAACAAATTCAAAAACCGAATTAAAAGTAAATGTAAACACGAGGAGGAAACGAAACGACCTCGAGTGAAAATGGAGCGAGCGAAAGGACGGACGGAGAAAGAGAGCAGCGAGGTGACCGAGGAGGCAATGACCCACTGTCTCTTTCCAACGTCTCACATTGCTCACTCACAATAAATAAGCAATTATAAATTGAGAATATTGTTTTTAATAAGATTTCATTGTTTTCCATTGTGATTTCATCCTGAGAAAGATATGACCGCTTCTACGGAGGATTACTACCCACATTAGATTTCGCATTTTTATTTTATGTTCAACGATGATATTGAATACATTGACTTTCTTTTTGCCAGAAAATGACAGACCTTCCTTTTTTGGACTACCCAGCAACATTGAAAAATCATGGCAGAAGAATATCAGTGCACAAAAATCGACAAGGCCAATGTGCCTTGAAGAAGATCCCATTTTCATTCAACACATTCTAAACATGACGACTGTCAATGCAAACGGGGGAGGGAAAAATCTGGGCAATAATAACTCGAATAATTCTACGCCAGGGTCAGCTTACAGTAGTCGCATCACTTTATCCAAACTCGCCTTGTCTCCTGAAGACAGACCAACTTTCTTGCGCAGAGGTAAACTATTCTATACTGATATCTGGTAATGTTGTGTAAAATAATTAATCCTCTTCCTCCACTCGTTTTCATAAACTGCCAACTCCTACTAACCCACAAAACAACAACAATTAACTATTAATGTCCAAAGAGTTTCGTTGAACATTGAAATCGAAATTTATAAACCGAAACTCGTGTAGCAACATAACTTGCAATATTTAGCAGCACATAACCAAATCCTAATATTTAAAAGTTATGCATGTTTCTTTGAATGAATGAATTTCTATGTAGATAATTTAACTAATAACTGCATGTTTTCGTACCATTAAACGCTAAATAATATGATGCAAGCACTCGACGGCTTTTGCTTTTACATACATAATTCTTTATCTTCTATTTCACTGCTGATTCTGATTATTTTGATTTATTCCAATTCATTTACTTTGCATTTACATTCATTACGCTTGCTGTCTATTATCTTCTCGTGGTGATCCGAAAGTAAAAAATTATCCTTACGCATAAGCGAGTCTTTGTGCAACAGGAAGAATAAGGCGATGAAGCCATGTGGTTTTAGACCACACCGCACTTTGTGCAAGCCGATAACTGATCATTAGGGAACCACGTTAGCACAATCATTCCATTTTTGGAGATTTTTAGGGCCCCACCCGCATCTGAGTGCGGCTTAAGACCAGCTTCAGATTTATTTTTATGTCACATTGATGAGACGGCGTTATTTGACGAGTCCTTTTGAAGTTGTAGTTGAAGAAGATTTTTTTTGACAATTTATTAGCCTAGACAATTGCTTGAAGACGATTCAAATTGTGATTACAGGTAGAGATAGCTTTAAACTTGCATTAAATGAACAATTACAATCATAAAGATTTTTAACAATATGGACAAAATTTGTGTACATGACGAAATGATTCTAGTCTTCCATCCAACTTGATAGCAATATTTGTACAATTTTATTTACATATGTATACAGATTAAAATCTTCGTCTTTCCTAAGTTTCTGTACATCCTCCTCTTGTGAAGCTCTGTTATTTGTGTAATTGTGTAAAAATCATTAATTTAATTCTTATTATCTGCCTATTTGTTCGTGTAGTGTTTTTTTTGTTGTGGAGAGAGATTAAAACAGTGGAATTAAACATGCAACTGGTTTTATACATTTAAAAAAGTTAATTTGCTTTTGTAAAATTTAACTGTGCCGCAAGCGAAAATTATTTATATGTAAATACACAAAGCATTTTGTTTGCATCTTGATGAATGTCGACTAATACTGAATGTAAGTAGTTTACACCTGCGTATGCATTTGCTTTTTTTTGTGGAAGTGGGAATGCATTTGATATTTAACTTAATTGACACGACTGACAATTAATTGCTGATATTACATGGACAGTTGTTTGCACCCGTATGCAGATCTTTTTTGCAATGCCTGGCTCATTTACTCGACACCACCCGTGGACACATTTTTTTTCAATTTTTTAAAATGTTTGACAGCAAAATAATGTTAGTGATTTATGTGGCACACTACAAATCAGATTGCAACAAATGAAGCTGATTTGCCACTTATTTTTTACTTTTGTCTTTCCAAATTATTGTGAGTAATGGTTGTTCTTGTGTGTAGAAGAATTTTTCATTGTGTTTAATCGAATATTTCTGATAGCGTTTCCTAAGTTCACATCAACACTTGTTCCAACAAATTAAATGTCTAGAAACTATTCTAAACCATCATTTCATATTCGTATTCTCCCGTCTTGATTTATAGAAAAGGATGATGTTTCTCACACTACGAATGGCGATGGCGAACCTGTATGGACCGCAGACTCTCCACCCACGATGGACGAGATTTCAAAGGAAATCTACCGTTTCCGGAAAAAATTTAATATTCAATCCAACGCCACGAGTCGAAATTTGTTGCCTTCTCAGTTGAAACCTCCTTCCAATCTGGACCGTAATGGAAATCTGTATGGGAGTTTGAGACGAGGAACGCTTTCTCCGCCGACAACGTCAACGCCACCATTTCACGCATCACCACTGCTTGACGGAAACGGTAACTTTGCGCGAAAGACGACGAGCCCGTCTGCATCCACGATTCCACTAGGTTTTCCCAAACTTCAAGTACAATTTAGTTCTCCGATATCAAGCTCTACGCCAATTAAACCAAGTGCCAACTATACCACCACGAATACCAGTAGCAAACATGATCACAAAACTTACTCTAGAAGTCCAGTAATTTCTACTCCTACTTCTGCCAGGGTCCGAACCAGTACAAGTACTCCATTATTTCCACGACCCATGAGTTCTCTCAGTATTAGCAGTTACAATAGCAGTATTTATTCTGACAGCAGTTTCATTAGGGATCCTGCCACTAGTTCTAGAAGTAGTTGTAGAGGTTACGGCCAGCAGCCACCCCCACCGCCCATCCGTAACTTTTCTAGCTCAGGAAGAAAGATTTTCCCATACACTCCCGCCGGTGCCTTGAACTCTAGTGCTCCCACTACGACTAGTGATTACTTGTATTTTAACCGTAATGGGTGGGGTGGAGGTGGGGCTGCTCAGTATCGAAGAAACTCCATGTCGTTGGCTGAACCTAGTCCAGGAGCTCTGAATTTGGGACCAAGGACTTCCTTGAGCGATTTCAAGAAATTGTTACAGGCAGCAAAGCCCAAGAAAAATTCAATTTCTGCGATGGAAGCTCTCAAGCCCAAGATTGGAGTAGAGACCACTTTGTAGTTTTTTTCTAATCGGAAGTTTTGTTTAATTTTATCATTATTTGAAAATTGTGATTCGAGATAAGGTTCTTATAACGATGTGCGAAGAGTAAAAAAAAAACAATAATTGAGTTACCTTAAAAATTACCTTAAAAATATTTGTCAAGATCTAGTTCGACTATGTATAACTATTTACATACTTGTCATTGACCACTAAGAAATAATCCTATATTTAGCAAGATTAAGAACGACAACGCTTCATTTACTGGAGAGAGTAATAAAATGTAATTTTAGCTTTAATACAAAAAAAGATGTTACCCTTTCTAAATAATATAATAAAACATTACTACTGAATTTTTGCATTGTATGGAAAGAGCTTCGATCAAGAATCCTATAAACAGCTCTATTTTATGGCATGTTCATTTTGGTAGGTTTCATCAATATTATTGCATACAAGGTTTTTGTAATATAGAGTCGATATATCATGAAAACACGGAGGGTCGAAGTTTATCGTGATTTCAGACTGGATTGCATGATCAGAAATATAACAAGAATTTCAGGATTCTTAACTCACGTTCAGAAACCCTACGCATTTTACGCACAATTTCAGAAATAGATTGTGGGACTACTCAATATTCTACTTTCCGGCTTGTTCACACGAAATATGGTCACATCAATGATCGTAAATTCCCATGAAAACGTTTTCTCCCACTGTTAGGATCAGTTAACATGTAATCCGAGTGCGTAAAAAATATATAGTTTCACCAGTCATTTTAATTCTGACATGAGGAAAGACTCTACCGGTCAATTGGTAGTAATATATCACCGAAATTCTATCATGTGGTTATGACTAACTACAAAAATCGATATGCGTCAAGTCCATGCAGCGACAACCATGCAGATAACAAGAATAAAATACTATTCCGACAACTGATTTGGACATCGATATCTTTAATCATTCGCAAACACACAATTCCATTAATGCGTCCCGTCCGATGGTAGTAAATAAATTGGAGAACATAATGACGAAATAGATGTGCAGAATTACTGTGTTATTGTGGGAGAGCAATAATCAGGCAGAGCGAGTTGTTACCTGCAACAACAGTAAGCGAGGAGGTTGATAGATAATGAAAATAGAACTAATGGACGACGACGAGCATTACATTATACGATAATAATATTATTATATTCCGATTGCAAATTAACTTTTGCTGCTAAAAGTCGAGATGATGAAAGGCGTTCTCTTCACCCACTACTCCACAATACGGTTGTGATACTACCTAACCAACTACCACTTTTATTTAGCAAGAGGTACGTACATACTTATGCACTTCTTCAGTCTCATGCACAAAAATTACGACCGCATTAAAGAGTGAATGGATAGTGAAGTTGGTAATTCACTCAGTGTACGTACGTATGTGTCATTACTATGCAAAATCTCGATCCTTTCGTTATTTAGACAAAATGTAATACGAAACCGCATACAGTTGTCAGTGAGTCATTAGGTTTGCAGTGGCGATAAGGTGCGCTCATGACGGGCAAATAATTGTTTTGCTTACTCAATTTAATACGTCTTCAGTTTCGGAGCAGTTCATGAAGAACAATTAAAAACTGTGGAGCTCAGATCAGGTTTCATGGATATTTGTTAACAACTTGCAGAAAATTCTTGTTTTTTTTTGCGAGAAAAATATTCGAGGACGAATTTACTTGGAAGTTGAATTGGATCCAGTTCCACACTATCGGACGGCATCTTTGTACCACTGCACTTTTGACTCTTCTCACGTCATTGCGAATTCTGTGAAACTCGGTGCAAATAACTTTTGTTGGGTGTGAATGCAAACAATTTAATTTCCACCAGTCAGTACTAACTTTGCAACTCTGGAGTACTTATAATCTAACATTTATTTCTTGAACCAGAAGATTCTAATTCCTCGTGTAACAGGTAAATTTAGCTATTTCGATTTTTATTATTACAGCATTACATTAGGAAACCGGTCGACACATGGACATCGAATTACGCAACGAATATTCCGTAATAACTTCAATTTTCCTTAATCCAAGTTGAAAATTGGCAACAGGCATTTTTATTCTGGACGATTGTTTCACGTACCAATACGCTGTTACTTTACTTACTTACGTTGTATTGTTGTCATATACTTGGTTTGCATGCAATTATTGCCAAGTTAATTCACACCTTTTAGCACGCAACACTTTCAACAATAGGGACACAGATAAACGGTGCAAGTAAGAATATAATGTGTGGTCCTTTATCTCATGGGATGCAATGTGCTTGAGCATTTATTTCGTCATAATGTTTCATTTAAAACAGGGCTGTTAGTTAAATAATGTGACAATGAAACCTGAATACAATGGAATGAAGTACCGCTAGCGGTGTACAGAGTACAGACTCGATGTACTTGTGTTTAAATGCAAGCTGCATAGATGCACTTTTTACGAACGAATATGTTCTGACAATGAGAGCGCAAACCATGTTCAGCCCAGATTATTTTTTGACCATGTTAGTTTGAAAGAGCAAGTCTTTAGAAACAACATTTGGCTCGGCACTTGCGCAGATGCGCAAAATTCAGCACATAACGGGTGCCACAAGTTCGCAAAAACGCATGATTCTTCATGCACGGTAGAGCGCGAGCCGATAAATCGTTCGTTTTTGCGAACTTTTACGCCCATAACGTGCTGAATTTTGCGCATCTGCGCAAGTGCCGAGCCAAATGTTGTTTCTAAAGACTTCCTCTTGCAAACTAACATGGTCAAAAAATAATCCCGGATGAACATGGTTTGCGCCTCCATTGTGAGTTATGTTTAAGCATTATCAACTCTGGTTGAGTCGAAAGCATCATTTTAGAATACAATGAGATTGAATATTATGCAAACATTTTGGGATGATGAGCGATTTCCCTTTTTCCTTTACGACTACGAGTCTCACCTGAAGTATGTAAGTAGGTGCACAAGGGGAAAATTGTGAGTGGAAAATATTCAGTGGTGACGATCTAACGAAATGACACTAATATTTTTTGAGACCTATAACCAGGCAATCTTGGCTGCAAGACCAAGTTGTTTCCCGTGTGTACTACATATTTGGGATTAAAAATATGTACCCCCTGATATCAGTAGATTTGCATAATCTGGGTGGTACACATTTTTCATGATTGAATAATTGAAGATATGTGTGGTTTTTTCCTCTAAATACTTTGTTGGAAATGAATTCATTCACATGTAAATTTGTTAAATATCTGTTTGTCGGGTCATTAATTCAATACTTTTTGTGCTGTGGAGAGATGTAATCGGTGTAAAGTGGTCGATGGTGACACTGTTTGAAAGAGCATCGTGACCTACGGACTTCGAGAGGGCGTAAGGAGCCCATTACACAAGCTTGGGTTTAATTTGAACAGAGTTAAATTGAATTGAAACATTAAAAGTTACACAATAAAACTCTCCAGATTCTGTTTTTCATAAACTAGCTTTATAGAAATGTTAAAGTTATAATAATAAATAACACGAAAATAAACCAACAGTGAACAATAAGTAAGTAGTGAGAGGAACAAATTATGCTCAATTGTTAAATTACCAGGGCGAATAATGCCACCATTGTTCATTTTAATAATAAAAAGTATATTGCAAGTTTTAGAGAGAGAGAGAGCGAAACTTATTGATCTTCTCGTCACTTACTTGTGTAACAACTTCACTTCGAATAAGCTCAATTTCAGACTCAATAGACCGTGACGAAGGACTAAATCAAAACCAAGTTCTCTTTCATTTCACTTTGGCAAAAAATGGAGGTAGTGAAATTTATACCTTGATTTCAAAGTGTTTTATCAACTCATCGGAAGCGTCGTATCGTAGTAAATACACATCCCTGAAATTCAGCGAAAATTTTTTCATCCAATTTAATTATTGTTCCGACTTAATGGCCTGTATTATTTATCATTTTGTTGTAAATATTTATCAAATGATTAATGTAATCATTCCTGGTACGCATATAACTTGGGGTCACAATAATATACGTACCTAATACATTGTTGAACTTCCTGCTTGCATTTTTATTATTTTAAAAGTTCCAACGCAGCCATTGTTCTGAGTAGATCCGTACTCGTTTTCGAATCTTAACCTACCTTGATTTTTTCCTATTAGACTTTTTCTACTTTTTTGTCTGATTTTTTTTGCAAATCGCAAATCACGTGCAATCGCAAATCACGTGCAGTGTTCAAAGCAAGTTAAGAGGTTTGAGGTACATCAGGCAAAAATGCAGGTAAAAACTTGGACATCAGTCAGTGAGTCACTACGTATTTAACGTATGCAGTAATATTATTGTCAACTAAATTATTGGGCAGATATGACGAGAAGGCGTCCTTGAATATATTGGGTGGTACGTAGTGTGGTTAAAAGTGTGCTGGCTATAATAATACCCGAGGCAAAATTGCAAATTGAATTAATCTGGGCAATTTATGCATAAGAAAGAGCAACATTTGATCACAAGTTTATTTGCCAATAACAAATATTGACCGTCTGCAAACCTATCAAGAAACACCCAGGACTTTTTGTCATGAAAATTCTAGCCTGTAACGCAAAACTATATGACCGTCAAAGTCAAAGCCCCATTATAGTTGAAGTAAAAGTGTTGGCAGCCTTGGTTTTGGGACTATTAAAATATACAAAAATGCACTAAAGAACATTGAAATAATCAGAATTTACATCATCATCAATCACTACTGTACTGCTACGGCTCTTTTGTGCGTTTTAATTTTTGGTGCAGTCAATGTCAGCCAAGCTACAGCAAAGAGATTTAATGGTTACTTGGTCATAATCAAGTGAATTGAATTGGGGGTCGCATTTGCATTCGCGATAGTTAGCTTTTCGTTGAGGGACTGACTTGGTGTGCTATCAACGTGCTTATTTGGGGCATAATATTTCTGTCGCAGTAAACAAAGCGGTGGCTGAGATTATTGGCCTGTATAATAAACAACAGATCAAGTCAGTACGGCTAAAGGTTGACACACAGACACACTGACAAGCAATACTTGGATCGACTGCAACTTAACTTAAGACTTTTAGTAAATATTTGTCAAAAATAAATTGAGCAAGTGTATAGAGTTTTTTTAAAAAATTAACAAATTTACTACTTGATTTTAGAAGCTCCTTGGAAAAATGTGTCCCCTTTGGCCGTTCCACATCTTCCTTCTCTACCTGGCCATATTGGGCCCACTCTTATTTGCGTCTTTTGGCGTAATCGGTGCCGCAGCACAATCCATGTCCTCCTGCAATGTCTCATTTGAACCGGAACGTGTCAACCAGGTGAAAATGGGGGACAGCCAGGTTGTCGATGTAAGTTCAAAGATAAAATAAAATTTATGTGTTCTACACATTTCAAAAATATTGATGTATTTCTTAATTGGTTTTACACAGTTCAAATTCAACAAGACTGAAGTAATAGAACAAGCCAAACTTCTAGGATTTGATCCCGTCACAGAGTTTGAGTTTCTCGTCAGTGATTCCTACATCGCCTACGTAACCCCGGTGAAAGTACCGCTTGACAATTCTGTGCCAATTGGTGACGGAAGTGGACTGGATCGCGTGTCTTTCAATGTGACTGGAAACTTCCTCGGATACACGGAAGTCTGTGCGACCTCACGGATTTCAAAAAATGCGTCCGAAGTATTTCAATGCATGCCGGTCTCGGTTGTACGCGAGTCCGGAGTTCTCGATAAAGCTTTCACGTACAGTGTGGCCGCACTTGTGACAGTAATTTACGTCAACATGGGAGCAGCTCTGGACATGCGAACAATTAAGGAAACGATTAAGAAGCCCTGGGGACCTGCTATTGGGTTCATGAGTCAGTTTATTATCATGCCTTTGGTAAGTTTGGTCTAAATTGTTGGAAATTGTCTAGATTTTTTATCAGGAGTGGTAAATTAATTAACAATTTCTCTCAGCTATCCTTTGGAATTGCGAAACTTTTCATCTCACTGGCAGCTTTACAGCTTGGGTTGTTCATAACGGGATGTTCTCCAGGTGGGGGTGCGTCAAACATTTGGACGTTGACGTTAGGTGGAAACTTGGACCTTTCCATCACAATGACGACGATATCTACATTCTCTGCTTTCGGTGAGTGATTAGTTATTTTTATATTACAAATCTTTCCCATAAATTTAAAACCAATTACATGTTTCCATAATTTCTGCAGTGATGATGCCCCTGTGGATGCTAACTCTGGGATCTACAATTTTTAAAGATGCCAACTTGACCGTCCCTTACTCCAAAATAGCCACATTTGCCGGTTGCCTCGTGATTCCTTTGGCGATTGGAGTTGGCATTCAGTACAAGTGGCCGAATGTAGCTAAATTCCTTGTCAAGATCTTGAAACCCTTCGCTGTTTTTCTCATCGTGTTTATTATCATCTTTGCCGTGTACACGAATCTTTACTTGTTTCAATTGTTCACATGGCAGGTACAGTTTTCTCAGTCCTTATACATATCGTCAATGAAATTGCCTACTTATTTGCAGATTCTCATGGCAGGGATGTTGCTTCCTTGGCTCGGCTACATTTTGGGGGGTGGGACCGCTTGGCTTCTAAAACAAGAGTGGCGTGACGTGATCGCGATTGGAATTGAGACAGGGGTTCAGAACACGGGCCTGGTAATTTGGTCTATTGATAACTCGAAATTTGACTAGTTTTATATCAAAATTATCAAATCAGGCATTCACCATCCATCCGTCTCTATTTTATTCCTAGGCCATTTTCGCCCTCAGGTTTTCACTTCCTCAGCCGGAAGCCGATTTGACAACTGCACTTCCCGTCGCCGTGGCCATGATGACTCCAGTCCTCCCCGCCGTGTTGATGCTGTACCAAAAATATAGTGGGGTTCAGTACACCGGGATGAAGAAGGAGGAACACAAGGATCCCGTCCAAATGGGTGGTGGTTCAGATTTGACTGTTCTCGCCACTTCCAATTCTGCCAATGGCTCATCTCAAACGCCACAGAGTAAAGCACTTCTCTTCAATAATAAATTCTGAGTTTTTTTGCACCCTGCCTGTTGTGGGGTTATGCCCTCTATAACAATGACGGCAAGCTTGTGTGATGGGGAGCCTTAGCTTGAGTTTTATTCACATTGTTTTCTTCAAATCACTAATACAATACAATAAATGTGCTTTGTAAATGCAGTGTTGATTTGTTTTTGATTTGCCACCGGACCTGATCCTGTGTGGTACAAAAAAATGTATAAACATGGATGGTCAGGTATGAAAAGGAATGGTTGTAATTCCAATCCAGGTGGGCAAACATTTTTTTTTTGCATTTTACTTTTGCCTCATACAACTATATTTTCCGCATCATATTGCCATGCATATTTTTTGAAACGATTAAAACTTCTTGCTTATGTAAAACAGCATACACCAAATGGAAATTGATGACTTGTGGATATTACAGAAATTCTAAATCGCTCTAATTGTAAAAACTTAACTATTACTTTCGACTTGTTACCCTTGAACAGGCAAACAGTACGGAAGCTGTGGAATCTCGAACGATGGTGTGGACGGTGTCGAAGAGATGACAACTTCTACATAAGCGAAGAGCAGTTGCTGCACTTGCATCTCTCATTTGAGACTAAATTAATAAACAGTATGATAAATTTCGGTATTTTTTGCTATTAAAAATCATTACATTACTACAGATACACCATCAAAATCGTGCAAATAATACCATTGACTTATAGTTTTTATGTATAAATATGATGATTAATTAGAATAAACAGGAAATGTAACTAACTCTGAGTGAATTTAAACGAGACTAACATCCGTCGTGAGTAGTATTGATCATGCAAAAATAAATATGCATGATGAATAACAGCCGCTCGAAAATGACTGATCAAATTTACTTTCAAAATCCATTTTATCATATGCATTAAACGACCAAACCTTGATTACTTTAAACCTGTCTAATATTTCATTATTATTTTTAGATTTTAGATTTTAGAGAATATTTAGCATAATAATAAATGAACTTTACGTCATGAAAGAAAGGGGGGCCCAGAAACAATAGATTTTGTAGTAATAAAACTTGTGTAGACTTTATTCAGCTTTTCAACACAAAGGAAACAATTTGCACAGTCCACTATCCTATGAGGAACATACTAGATACACATATATGTTCGCTATAACTATAAATTTATCCTACTTTTTATATAAAAATGTGCTGATGAAATTAAGAAGAATATACATAAATTCTGCATAAAAAGATGTATTCCAAAAATAAACTCTATCCTTTAGAAATTATCATCATCATCCAATCCGCTTGGGTTGTATGTCAAAGTTGCCATGTCAGGAGGAAGGGTAGGGACATCTCTGTTGGCCTCCTGATTTTTAAAATCGTAATACAGCTTGTTCATAACTTCGTCTAATTCAATTGGCAAGTTGCAACCTTTGTAGGCTTGCAATTCTATGCAATAACGGAGAAGGTTTTTCCAGTGCTTGTCTTTGCAAAGGACGTGAGGATTTCCAACGACGATCATCAAAGATTTTGCCCGTGTAATTGCGACGTTGAATCGTTTTTCATTATAAATGAACCCAAGTTGGTGGACACACGAGTTTATTTTATCTTCGTATAAGGAGCGTACGGTGGATATGATAACCACTTGTCGTTCACCACCTTGGAACTCTTCAACAGAACCCACCTTTGGAATCTCGTCTTCAAGCAGCCCGATTTTCATAGCAAGACGCAACTTCTCCGTCTGGAATATTATCAAGGAATGTTAATTAATGACACATACTTGTTTTTTTAGGCTAATCATAGGTGTGTGCATACATCCCACAAGCATTTATGTACTAACCTGCTTTCGATACGGCGTAATAATTCCGATATCATCATTCTCGACTCCACAAGACTTCAGGGTTCGGACATAATTTACAACCTGCATAATTTCAGCAGCGTTGAACCAACTAGGAGAGTCGCGCTCACGAACGCTGGTCCCTTGAACTCCGTGGAAGACAAGAGGGACCCCTTGGGAAAGTAAGATCTTCTGAGAAATTGTGTGATTTTGGGTTAGCATGTAAGCTTCTTCCTGTGAGGCACATGCTACTAAATCATCATCGTAGAATAGATGAGACGGAAGCTTGAGCAAGGACTCGTGAGCACGATAATTTTTGACCAGTTTAGTCAAAACTAAGGTGTTATATCCACAATTTTCTTGTCCGAATTTTTCTGGATTCCGCCCATAAATGTTTTTCATTCCTTTCTTGCCGATCATCAAACGCTCAAGATAGGAAAGATTCAACTCCAGATTTTTAGCAATGTCGCTCATAAGAACGGGCCCCAGTTGTTTAGGATCCCCCGCAATAATCAACTAAATAAATATTTAAGAAGATTCACGATAAATAAGTAACCCAAACATGACTCTGGACATTATCATATGAGTATTATTGAGTATTGCTTATTACCTGCCCTTCTCGATCGATAGCAAGGTTCACTGCAGCGATCATAGTCTCAGGCTCGGTGCAGTACCCAGCCTCGTCAATAAACACATGCGTAAAATGGCCAGGTGTCAATTTGAGACTGAAAAATTGGCCCACCGTGGCGCATGTTGACACAATTAAGCGACTTATAGCAACATGATCCAGTAGTTCACCATCAGTGCAATATTCCTTAATGGGATCCGGTATGCAATGTTCTTGTCTGAGGAATCCATTAAACCGGATAATTTCTCCCGGATAGTATTGTCCACTTCGAACCAAGCACTCTGCTATGATGTCCGCTGCGTGGTTGGTGGGAGCAGTGACCAAAATCCTAACAGAAAAAATTAAACCTTCATTTTGGTGGGTAGGTACTCGTATAAGCAAGCTCTAATTAATTAAGTTGCATTTCTATACCTGCTGTTTGGATCCAACTTATTTACTTGCATTATAGCTTCAACCACAGTTACTGTTTTTCCAGTTCCTGAATGCATAAACAAACATTTTTATATTATTTATAAATTCAGGATCAATAAACAGAATTTTACTTAAGCCAAACCTGGAGGTCCAAAAATAATATATGGAAGTGGTCGGGCCTGTCCTCTTAAAACACGTCGCACAGCATTTTTCTGCTCTTCATTCAAATTTTTGTTGAACCAGTTTAGCTTGACATCATTGAGAAAATTTGTGGTAGGAACGTCGCTGACAAAAGTGGTTCGGAGACTTTTCTCTCTTCTGCTGCCATTACCCATGGCGTTTTTTGGTGGCCTTTTGCCGAATGTGGTATTCGGCGTGGAACGTTTTGGAAATAATTTAAGTGCAGGAACAACTGAATCCTCCTGATAAATCAATACATAATAATTATTGCATTATTGTTGTTATGTTTTATGTTATTAGTATTAAATGCGGCCTGAAGATATCTATGTAGGTATGTACATATGAAATATAAACTTTTACAAACTTACAGTTGTAGACTCGGCTACTTCATCAGTGGATGTTTCGATGGATGAATCATTATCCTCAAAAAATGGAATCCGTGGGTTTTTAATTTCCGTTTCTAAAAATCCAAACGGAAACAAAAATGCTTCTCCTAGGATTTCATGAGCCAATTCGACCGCATAATGTTGTCTTTTGTAGGTCATTCTTCCCTGGCAGAATCTAACTTGGAGAAGTCCCCCGTCATAAGTCTGGTTGAAAACTTCGCTAAATCCGACAGACACCTCAATCCCGTGAATCTTTTTGATAAATCCTTGATATTTGACAGCTGAAACATGTATAAAATAGTGAATATACACTGTTTCAGGTGTCTCTTACTTCCTGTGCATAATACAGGACAACGCAATTAACGAAATTTCAAACATATGTACCTTTGGGGTCCTCAGGATCAAATGCCTCAATTGGGTCGCCAATAAGTACAGCAGGTTGTATGTCTTCAATATGAGGGGCAACAAACGTGTAATAATCCGAAGCTCTCTTGAATCTGACCCCTCCCAAATCATACTGGCGCCTTAGGACATCGTTGTCAACTTCTTCAAACCACAGGCTGACTTGGAATTTGGTCTATGTAAAATACAAATACAATTAAATTTTCATGAAATCTGAATATAAAACTATAGCATGGAGGTTTAACTTTAATTTAGGCTTAAACGTTGGCATTTACCTGATAATTGTTGATATCTAAAGCTCTTAAGACTCCGGCATAGTGTTTCTTAATAATTTCTTCAGATTGATCTCTGTAGGCGTTCCATATTTCGTTTGGTACGGAATACCTTGGTATTCTGGAGGAAACAAAGAATGGGGCACGAACAGGTGCATTTCCACGAATTCGAGTCCGATGGTTATCGTTCATTAGTGTTCTGATTTGCTCCACTCCACGGATTCTACTGAATCTTTGTACATAGTTTTCATGTTCCGGCTTCTTGACCTTGTTGAGAAGCTCCTCGTCAGCCGTTAATCCCGTAATGATGAAGTCACGAGCAATTTTGAACTCAATAAAGTCAAATATGCCCATTTCTTTTGTTCTACCCATTTGAAGTGGAGTACAATTGACCATAAAAGTGTACATCTCCTCCGGTGCAAGAACTCTGATAACGTCACGGTCCCGTTGAGGTAACTCCAAATCAAACTTACAAATTGCATTGTCGTGTGGAAATTCAATCGATTGAAGCGTAATACTTCGGTTCGACATATTCTGCACGGACACAGATTTTTGAACACAAGTTCCAATGATGGCCGCCTGAAACTTGACACGAGCCTCTGGTGTGATCTTGATTCCACCTCGGTTATCGTATAAATCACGGTAGCGAATGTCAACATTTTCGTGTTCCTCGTCGTCATCTCTGCTGAATAAGGGGAAGAAATCCATATATTAATTTTAAACCGTTCTTCATAATAATATTTCCTTATAGGAGAGAAGATACATACGTATTCACTGTCTACTTACTTGTCGTTATCGGTCAAATGCTGCATAAAATTGGACAAAGACACTTCTACAGCTCGCCATCGAAATTCTCCATATTTCAATTTTTGGGTCGATTCGACAGCAACGCATCGTACAATTGTGTTGAGAGGAATTTGACGGCCACCCTTTATTGCTTCAAGGGTGACGTAGATGTAGTCTTCCACGCAAAATTCGTTGCCTCGTTTAGTTATTTTTCCTACAATTGTTTTCTGTTGGCTTGGCCGAATACTAATAATCTTGCCCAAGGTTTCATCACCGGATAATCCTTGTGCCTCAGCTGCCTCATAAAGTTGTTCAAAGTGGATTTGCAGCCAGTCGCTTGAAAAATACAATATTATAATTATTAATTACGAGATTATAAATAAATAATCATAACCAAATTCTAGAGTTAAAATGGAATAGAAATGACGGAGGAAAAATGTAAATTAGTACGCATACCAGATTTTATTTGATATTTTGGAAGTAGATCCTTCAATTTTGGTAACCGTTGGACTTTATTGTTCCCCCATTCCGCGTCAATCCAATCGTACCCAACACTTACAACTTTCATAATCTGGATCTTATGACGACATGTTTCCTTCGCTTGTTCCTCCTTCTTCGAGACATGAACTTTCATGGACGTGACAATCCATGTTGGAGTTGCCTTGCTGCGAAATGCTTCGAAGTCCACTTTGGAACGGAGTTGGAAATTGTGATTAGGAGGGCAAAATGTTCCAATGTCGAAACAGTAAGTCCGATCTATGACCCCTTTTGGCATGGATTCGTCCAGGCGTGTAATAAATCCTGTAGACCGGATACTTTCTAGGCCTTCGTCGGTTTCCTCGTTGTCAGTATTTACCGTTGCAAGTTGGGACGTCTATGAAATTAAAATTGAGTAATTGTTAGCATATTTGCATATTGATAAGTATATAAAACTCGAGGAGGGAGACTAACCTGTGATGAAGAACTAGTCGCAGTCGTCGCCTCATCTTCGTCCTCTGGAAATTTGGACCTCTTAAAAGGCCAAGATCGGAGAGCGTTGACCACGTAATGGAGCATTGTTGAAAATTACTCTGAAACCCTCCTGAAATCCAACTTTCACTAATGAAAAAGATGTAATAAATATCTTAAAGTGAGTACATAATCAAATTTTAGGATAAATATAAATCAAACTCCCTGATTTAATATTTACCAGCTATGTGTTCACTTCAATTTTTCAGCTCAAGTGAAAATAAATTCTGGAGAAATTGGACAAATTACCTTTTTTACTTGCCGGAAGAAGAGAAATGTCTGGATCCAACGCACGAATATGAAATTTACTAATATTCTGTCGGAAAACTTATTATATTTTCAAAAAAGTTCGCCTTTACTTTTCGTGTGACCGTTCTGGTCAACTCCTCAACTTGAAATGAAGACTCAGTCTCTGACGAGCTGCATTTTATGTACGCGTTCAACTGCTTCGCGTCCACGCACGCCGAAACTCTTGCTTGGCGTGCATTCTTCCGACGGAACAATGGAAGATAAGAATTTCATGTTTCCCATGCTTCTATTAATAAATGGTTTGACACGAAAGCCACGCAAAACAAAGAAATGCAATTTTTTATTTCAAAACCTTAAAGAAATACCCAAATATCGCCGGCTGTTACGGCGTAAACGAATCACTTATCGGATGACGACAAATTTCATCCGACCAAATTAAGATGACTGTTTGACCGTCAATTAACGAGGATCATCTCGTCCCCCAGTTTATACTCTCATGATGGCATAATAATTTTATCATTCCGTATCAATCTCCTTGATAAGTATATTATCCATATTTATGCTAATTATGTCTGAATACAAATGTTTACGATGCAATTAGTGAGATTAAATGTGAGACACCTTAAAAAATAAGATCACATTAATTACTGTCTTAATACAAAAGATGACGAGTTGAGAATCTCAACTTGAGAATCTCAAGTCAATCTCAATCTCAACTCATGAGAGTCAAAGTTGATCGACCTTTGCTTTCTCCAGATCGAGATTTTTCACTGGGGGAGACCAGCTGCAGCGAAATTTGATTATTGCTCAATTCCAATCCAAATCGGCTGATCGAATGAAGAATTTTTTTTGCTCCTCTAAATTACCAATTTTATCGTCGGTCTTTCTACGGAAATTATGTGATAAGCACACAATTGTTTTGCAACAAGGAGCCCCGTTGTCCAAGTTCCACACGGGCACTTCATCATTTCTTACGGCTCGAAGCAAGCCGTGAGTTTTCTTCTGTATCATCGCCATTCATCGCGTGATTGCTTGTATAACTTAAGCATTTTTCTAACAAAATATAGTACAATGTGCGGAAAACTGGATTTATTATATTATTCTAATATATACTCTTATTTTCTGGAAAATAATTAAATTTTTATGGCTTAGGTCTGTCGCCAACAAGATGAAGCCTACTCTGGAATCGCTGGAAACCATTCGCCGTGGGGCAGGGATTCCGATGCAGGAGGTTATTGGATTGTTTCCTTTCTTCATGCAAAACTTGGATGCTGTCATGTTCGATTGTGATGGTGAGTCTAAAGATTATAGTTTATTAATTTGTACGGAAAGGAGAGTGACAGTCAGTTTGGAGTTGCTTAATTAATCTTTTTCGACCTCATCTACAGGTGTCCTTTGGATGGGAAACGTAAGAAATACTTCTTGAAAACTAATCTAATTCTTTTTGTCATCTAACTCTCTTCTTAATGTCATTTCTACTCATTTTTTTCCTGATGATCTGTGTGTAAATTACAACATTTTTCCATGTTCATAGAATCCAATTTCTGGAGCACAAGACCTTGTCAAAAAATTGAGAACTATAGGGAAGAAGGTATTTTTCCTTACCAACAATTCAACCAAGACAAGAGAGGAGTTTCTGGAAAAGTTTAACAGTCTTGGATTTGAAGCTACGTTGGTAAGCCCACTCATTTTTTGAATTGCTGATAAGAATAAACAAATAGTGCTTTGCAAGAGTTTTCTTGGGATTGCAGGATGAAATTGTAGGGACATCCTACCTGACAGCGCTTTACTTGAAGGAGCAGAATTTTAAAGGAAAAGTGTATGTGATTGGTACTACTGGGATCACTCGAGAGCTAGAGAACGTGGGCATCGAGTCACTGCCAATCGGAGTATGATTAACCATTGTTTAAGCTCCCATTACTAATACCGGAATTAGTGTGACTAATTTCTACATTGCTACATTTTAGCCGGATCCTATGCCAGCAGATATGCATACGTGGGTGTCTTCCTTGATTCCAATTCCATATTTGGACCCAGAGGTTAAGGCTGTGGTTGTCGGATTTGATCATCACCTGAGTTTCACAAAAATGATCAAGGCAGCCAGTTATTTAAGGAATCCTAATTGTCTTTTCGGTGAGATTTTCAGATAGCCTATGGTCAATTTTAAGAACAATATTTAACTTTATTTATTGTATTTTCTAGTGGCTACGAACACCGATGAACGTTTTCCATCGGGACCGGAGATTGTCATGCCAGGTAACAACTAATGCCATTTTGAAGTTCAATTAACAACAAAAGTTTACTTAACAAAAAAGTTATCCTTCATTTTCATTATTTTAATAGGTACTGGGTCAATCGTCAACGCCGTCAAAACTGCGGCAGAACGAGAACCTTATGTAATGGGGAAACCATCTCCAATGCCTTTTGAATTTGTAAAACGTACTCATGACTTGGATCCTAAAAAAGTTCTTATGATTGGTGACAGGTCTGTTCTTGTGTATCATATTTATATGTCAGCCGTGCTAATGTAATAATATCAATTTAAAACATTTTTTCATAGATCCAACACAGACATCTTGTTCGGTAAAGACTGCGGCTTGTGGACACTACTCGTTTTCAGTGGTGTAACAACTTATCGAGAAATAGAAACATGGAAAGTGTCGGGCAACGCTTATGAAAAGAAGTTAATTCCGGATTTTTGCTTGAATGGGGTTGAAAACTTGTTGGCACTGATAAACAAGCATGGAGAAGTGGTGCATAATGCCAACGATAATTAACAATCTTGGATGATCTAGTCCTTTCCAAAAATGCTGACAAACGTAAATTAACTAAATGGATGTGCATTCTATGTAACTACGTAGAAGAATAATAAGCTTTAAACAGAAACTCGAGATTTTCATATAATGTTTGTAACTTATGCTTGAATAAAATGTGAAATATAAAACGAAAAATAAAAGGCTGCTGTAAACATGATCAAATATTTTGTTTATCAATGAAATTATTTATTCGAACAAACTGATATCAAAAGTACAAACTTCCGATAAATGCGTAATATTGCAGAAGATAATCTAAACAATCCTTATCCGTCACTACGAAAATTTGTAATTAATTTATACTAGAGTTGCGATATTTGTAAAATAATAATGTGTATCTTGAACCAAGATTATTACTAACATCGTATATATCATATCATCACGACAAACTTTTCATTATTTAGTTTATACTAGAATGTACTTTGAAATTTGCACAGATAATGACTATTAATGTCGACTGCTTGCGGCGATGCAGGTTTACCAACATTATATATCTAATTATAATTCCATATTCATATTTAAAAATAAAACTAGTTCCGTTTTCGTCCAAAATACATCCCAAATAATATAAATTTCGATCGCATGTTCCGTAACATTTGGCCATATAATTAATGAACTAAAATAGTTTACAAAACTTAATAAATAGAACCAACAATAACTAGTCAAATTTTTCGAAAGCAGTCAAAGTCTTTAACATAACGTAAGGTCAATTAGAACTACAAATAAGATTGAATGATAACCACGCAATATAATAAAAGTATTAGTTGTAAATGCTAGCGATAAAACAAGTCTTTAACTGACCGTAATCAGTAACAGCGATTGGTAAGCACATAATTTCAAACGTCACACAACTATATAATAAGGATTTGTGTATATGAGTAGTCGACAAGGATCTCATCAGAAGTACAAGAAGTCGTCATCCGTTGAGTTAGTTAAAATTCATCATCGCCACACACTTCGAGAAAGACATCGTAAGATAGTCGACTGCATTGACCATCCATGTTGAAAACATATTTATGAAACGTACCATCCATGCATACCGCTGTAAATCATACAAATTAAAGGAAATGTCAAAATACTCCATATACATTGCATTTATTATCTATTAAAGGAATGCGAAACTTGAACGAACCTATGACGGAACTGTTGGATGTAAATGCACAAATACAGGCACATTCTGGTGGCACAGTAAAATTAGCTAATGCCCATTGCGACTCTACATACGTTCCCAGGAACCCAATTTTAGAAAATCTGTAAATTAAATCCAATCAAAGCTTTCAATTCATAAACATTTTTACTTAACAAAGTATACAAGCAAAATTTTCTTTGCCAACTCACGTTGAACGTCGATTTAGATGCGAATCTTTCAGGGCAAATATATGAATAGTTCCTTTATCACTGGAACAACACAAAAAGTCCGAATCTAGACTAAAATTTATGCAGTAAACCGTGGCAGGGTCTAGAATGAACAACATATCATATATTACATATTACTAATAATTGTTTTGATAGTACGGTGCTGACATGTTAAATAAGTAAATTTATTTATCTTACCCGACCCACGGCGAAGTTCATTTAATAGAGTTTTCTTGGTAGTATCAAAAACCCTGATGAGCGTTCCTTTATCAGATGCGGTAGCTACCAGCGAGCCCGTTTGATTAATTGCGATACAGCTTTAAAAATAAAAACATTTTTTATTAATACAAGTGAGTGAGTAATTCATACTAATCATTATTTTGACTTATAGAGGACTTCATTTTAATTAGTATTGTATAATATATTCAGCCTAACCCGAGTTCTCCTTGATGTGCGTTAATTGTTGCAGGACTGCTGGATACGGTAGCTTCGGTTGTATCCAAATTCTTAACATATTAAATAATATTTTCTTTAAGTGGTTAAATTAATTTTGCAATTCATTTCATATCTTACCATTAATTGCAGCGATCCCATCTTAGACCCAGGAAACACTAGTAGATTGAGCCTTCCTGGGGAAAGTTCACAAAGACCCAACGGATTATTTCTCGTCTCGATTGTAAATAACTTTTGCGGATTCGTGGGGAATGAGAAGATATGAATGCGATTCTTCAACACGGCCACGAGCCGATCTCTTCGACATCGCACAGATAAGACAGGCTGTGTAAAAGTGAACTCGAGCACAGTCTTTTTCTTTGAGTCGTCGTAAATGAGGGCCTAGAAAAATGGATCGGATCAAAGTTAATACCTGATTTAAAACGAGTGCTTTAACATAAATGTACAACATAACTGCTATTTACCGAGTTGTCCGCGTATTTAGGACGGCTACCTCCACTCACGATGGCAAAGAGGTTTGTTCTATAGACCATCTCACTAAACCCAACACCCCCAATGCTCTGTTCATCTGAAGATACAATTGCAATTACTGACCAAAATTCAACGACTAATAATGAGATGTATGACTCACCATAATGCACTTTTTCTACTAAAGGTTCGACATGATAAATCCTTAACCCATTCTCCATGCAGCACATAAAACAACCTTTTAATCAAAAAGTAAAAAAGAGGGTAAATATCATACCTTAATCAATCCAATCATGAATTAAGCTCTAACTTACTCTTATCCTGATTGAATCTTAAATTGATGATTTTCTTATCATACGAGGTGGAGCCCATCGCTTATCAATTCTTGTGTCGTGTCGTGGCAGTGGCGTCAAATCACACTCCGTTTCGAACCTCGGTCATCCTTCACATACAAAAACTATGGTCGTCGACGTAGCCTCAACAAAATTTAACATTCGTTCATTCCTCTGACCAATTTGAACTTTATTATGGTTTAGTTTATGTATCCGTTACGACGACAGACAAAGAAACTACGATTTTTTTACTGTCGTCGTCGGACCCTCGTCGAAAGTAGTAAAAGAATGAGCAAATATTCTGACCGACTCTGACCGACTTTAATTTACTAAACTAATTAGGTTTAGTTAAAAATTAAGTTACACTAATAATAATGAATAAAGCTGCTTGTTCTCTCTTGTTCCTTTCTTGTTCCTTTCTGTAATAAACTGCGTTTCGTTTGGTGTTTTTGTCTGATCAGGTGTTGTGATGGCTCAGAAAACAAGGCATGTGCCCGAATAAGCGTGCTGGATCGCCATCTTGAAAAATGGTGGAGAAGTGCAGTTCACTCTTCGCCAGATAGATGACCGATCGTTGGAAACAAAGGTTCGTGGAATTAACGCTTAGAAATTCAGAAATTTTGGTGACCAAATGATGACCAAGTCTCACCCACAAAAAAACGGATGAACCGAGCTACTAAAACATTTAATATGTGCGGACAAGGAAAAAGCGGTCTCAAGAGATTATTAAATAACTTTATCGTCGGTGTGTGGGTTAAGCTTTATTATTATTGTGTGGAGGGTGACAGCGGCGTTGACGTGTCGGAAGTCACTATGTCGTCTATACACAAAATCGTCACGTTATTAATTGCGACACGACGGTGGTTTGTGGTTGTTGTTATGTCGGCAGAGAGAATAAAATGTTATTTGAAGGGCCCCTTGAGACCGATTATTTGCTAATGGCAGGAAACCGTGATACCTTTATTTACTGTGTAAGATGAGATGGTGGGTGTAAAGTCGTAGGAAGAAAAAAAGTGATTGAAAGCAAGTCAATGAAAACTTTCTCCAACAATAATTTTTTTGCGCATGGTTTGCTTGTTTTTGGCGTCGTCACAATGATGTAAAGAAACCTTTATCCTTCATGTTGCCAAGAATTCTGACCTGATGGGAGACGCTGGCAGATTTTTAGTCAAACGCTGGAACGACTTCTAGGTCGACAGACGACTGAGGGCAGGGCAGGGAAAGCACAGCAATTTGCAGAGAAAGTAAGGTGAAGTGAACTGAGGTGATAAGAAAGTCCTCTTGATTGAGAGGAACAAGGTGTGGTAGATAAGTGCCAGTTGGTGGGAGTGGTTTCGAAAATTAGTGGTTTTTAGTTAGTTCAAGTTATTATGATAAGATAAATCGAATAAGTTCTGGAGGATAAGCAATTCACTTTTACTCAGCAGTCTCACTTTTCTCCTCTTTGACATAAAAACTCAGGTGGTGTCCATTCCAGAAAAGAGATCTGGAATATTTTGAGGTATGTAATTTATACATAGGACGTTGGATAAAGTTGGATTATTGTTTGTCAAGATTTTTTCATGATAAGATTTAAGAAAAAGAGATTCGTGATAAAACTGTACAATCCGGGAATTTTTCTGTAATCCCAAAGTCATACATTGAACAAAAAGAAGGCCAAGGTAAATAATACATGGGGACTGAAAATAAGGTTGTCAGATTCTTATTGTGTTCCTCAAGTCCGTTACTTGTATTTCATCTTTTTAAAAACATGACATTGTTCCCGTGCTGTTGTATGTTGTTTGGTTTTGAAGATTTCATTCCGTGAGTAAATATGAGATACATATTAAAAAGGACTTGATTCCGAGCAAAGAATTTTACAAGATTGGATACTGATTTCTTGGAAATAATATTTGTCTTGAGCATAATGTAGTAATTACTTGTGAAATAGTCCCTTTTGTTGCAGGAATGTCCAAGCCGTTTCCGTCAAAGATTTTCTGTATGCCTACTTTAACACTAACATCGCTTGCCCTTCTCTCCCTCGTCGTGCTGTCCTGGGGACACTCTATGGAACGTGAGACGGAGTTGCAGAAAATTTTCCAGTTAAGGTAAAACCCATTGTTATTTTTTCATTAGTTCGTATTGTATGGCTTCTGGACAGCTTTTTAAAAAAAAGAGAGACCAAAAACGAGCCATCGTCAAGTTAAAGGGTTCTCACACGATGGAAAGTATCGCATGTCATGTCATGCCAGGCTAAAATAACAAAGTTTTCGGCCAGTCATTGTAATCATTTTACATTTTGGACTGATTTGGGAACAAATCTAGCGTCATCATTTCCGTTCTCGATTGATTAACTCGTTCATCTGGGTTTGTGCAAAGCTATATTAGGTTTCAAGAGTGAAATACGGATGTATGTGCACATATTATTTATAAGTAATTAATTAACTCGTGATGAGTCTAAATGGAGTGAAAATGTCGTGAAAGAAATCTATCTTGTAAAGTTTTCACACACTGCGATTATATTGAATGAATTTGGTATCACAGTTCCATAAATAATGGGAATAATGGTGAATGAAGTATTTTCATGTATCACGGAGTCCACTAAATGCAGATATTCACAGAGAATCCTTCGAGAAGGGATGAATGAGTTGGTCATTGAATGGAATTAAATTAAGTGACTTTTCTCAAATCTTTTTCTTGACCACCTACACACAGAAACCGTAACAAGTACTTTTGTCCAGGAAAAGTACAGTTCCCATCCAGTTTTGGATGAGTAGTTCATTTTTCCGTGACTTTCATTGTCCCCCATTCTTTACCAAAATGTCCAGAGGTAGTTCTTGTTTGCGTTGCATGCGCTGGACAATTCAACTGTTCAGTTCTTCTGGAACTGGGGGTAAGGAATAAGTACAATGTACATGGTCAGTTTTGTCCCTCCACTATCAAAATCCTAGTCAACCTTAAAAAATGAACATTTTTAAGGTAGTTCTACATTCAATGCCGCGTATTTACTCCTCCTCCCACACTAGTTTCTTGTCCCATTAGATTACAACCAGCACAAAATTCATTCATTTCCACTTGTTAAAATGTTTCGGCATTATTATTGTGAGATTTTTTTAGTTATGGAACTTCTACTGTGTTCCGTTGTGCTTGTTGGATTCGGTTTTAAATGATGCAGAATTTACCCATTGAAGTTATTTGACCCTTAATTTCTCTCTTTAAATTGCATTTCATTATTGCATCTTGTTGTGTAAAGTAAAGCGTTTTGTCCTCTCCTGACTCCATTCACATTCATTCACAAAAATCTCAAACTTTTTGACTTTGCTGTTGCCTTTCCTTCTTGGAGTGAATGGATTCACAATGGTATCCCGTCCACCTCCAGAAAATCGGTTCAGATTTATGGCACTGCTCTTTCACAAGAAAAGGGAAAATGTTTCATGGAACAGAGTGAATTTTTAAGATTTTTACAAAATGTACAAAACCACCTCAGGTAGAACAGTAACAAACAACGAGTTGTGAATAAGAATCATTCATTCCACTACAAATCTTGCACCAACATCTTGGACCAGACAGCTTGGAACTGCATTTCAGAATGTTCATAACGAATTCAGTACGAGTTACCAAAAAGTGGGAAGGACAAGGCATACAAAAGTCAAGTGACGAGTTCAATCAGTCAGAAGAGGACAATAAAACGGGTCTTCTTCTTGCTGGAATTTATTTTAAATGTTGAGACTCTGATGTGGCTAATGATTACTGGGAACATGGAAAGTTGAGAAGGAACAAGTCATTCAATCATTCATGATCATGTCTGTCTTTAACTATAAAAATAACCCTTCCCTATCGTCCTTTCTCCATGTACAAAATGTCAACTGGTGTGGATATGATCGTGTCCAAATTATAAATGTTGTTTAGCAGTTTTTAGTTGTTCTTTGTCCCCTTTCTAGGAACGAAGATGAATGGAAAACAGCCTGGCACTCGGAGAAACATTCACGTTGCCGAGATCAACTCTTGATTCATATGGATTGGGCCTGTCAAAAAGATATTTATCGTTTGGACAAAAAGTTCGAGGCCCCGGAAGGAATTTTCATCGGGAAACCTGTGGCCAACACGGTCATCAAGGCGTGGAGTGGATACATCGTGAGGTGGGTGGATGCGGGGGTGGAAAAGGTCAAACGTACACCAGAAGTATAAGTTATAAGTCGCGATTTTTTGGCATTGTGATTTTAGGAGAAAACGTGAAAACAAGTCGATCACTGACGAATGCTGTAACACGTCTGGCTGCACTTGGGAAGAGTATGCAGAATATTGTCCGGTAATGACTTTATAAAGAGTAAAATTTTTATTATTTTTATGTTTGCACCAAAAAACCGACAAGATGACGTAGAAACTAAATTTGCCCATCAGATTTAATTAAGAAATTTAATTTTAACTTGATGAAAGCTGACTAATAGCAAAAAATAATCAAGAGCTCAATGATAATTTCAGGCTCACAGGAGGGTGCGGATTTCTCGGTCACGAACTAAGTAGATTGAATCTTGGGGAGAGTGAATACTTACTTGATGACTGGAAACACTGGAATGGCATATGAAAAAGGTGACCGTTTTAACATCTCTAGAACAGCAAGTTGAATTGCCCAAAAATGAATCGTATCGTTTCTCAATTTTATTTTTTTTCTACATTTTATTAGACTTTGAATGAATGTAAATGGGTTTTTTGAAATTCTGGTAAATATTATTTTGTAGTTGTACTCATAAATATACGTAGTGATTGCAAAGTCATAGTAAATTGCATATATGTAAACAATACATATGATCTCCATATAATATATACTACAGCTTTGTTCGTGAATCTCGCACTACTTTAAACTGGATAAGATGAGAAATTCTCGAACCGTATTTTACTTTCAGCACAAAACAGTCTATTTAAGCCACAAATAATTATATTACACTAACGATATGTATGGTGTATAGGTTAATTATACGTATAGTGCACTAGTTAATAATACTTACTGAATTTACTGGATCTAGTTTACATAAATATGCTGTATACTTATAAATCTAGGCTGTGAGTAGAAGAATCATGCTAATTTCAGATAGTTACTTACATATAAAACTAATTATTTGTTAGGACTGCTAAAATTTCTGACTCCATTTCATGAAAATGTTTCATAGTCAAGATCTCTGTGTTAAAACATTATGTAAATGATTTGTATCCATGAAATTATTATTATCGTGACCCAGCATTTGTATCATTTAGAAAATGATTCTTATAAATTTCTAGTTTGCAACGTATTGAACTCCCGCAGGATTGTTTAACCCTCATAATTTTTAAATGTAAATGTATATAGGGATAAATGCTGCAAATGTATCTGTTGTTTGTAATAATTTCAACGTCTCATTCCCATTTGTTGACATTTATTTGTGCATCGCACCCACTACTACAAACAAAATCCCCTTTTTCACAATTTCTACCAATCCTGGCGAGACATGATAATAATATTGAAGGGTGCAAAGCAGGTAAATCTCGGAAGTAGTTGTTTGCTCTGTGACGACGAAGGAAAGCTTGTTGAATGCAATGAAGCGAGGCGGATGTGGCAGATGTTGTTGGTGAAGAAGAAGAAGAAGAGATGTTTCATCATCAACCCAAATACGATACTTCTTGAGTCAGTGATTATAAAATTTACGGGCCATTATCATCCAGAGGTTCCTTAGCGTCTGGGCCACTTTACAACTTTCCAGTCCTACCACCACGGGCCGATGATGACCAGGGCAGGAGGGACTCCTATTGTCTCCCTTCGTACCCACTCACCCACACTTGCAAACACAATGAGGCATAAGAGAGGATGAAGGAAGGTGCCTTCTAGTAAATACGTAGAACCCTCCTGTCTAAGCTCTTCCTCTCCTTCGTCTTATACCTGAGCAGAGTAAGATCTTAAGGTCAAAGCAACTAACCTCACCTCAGATTTGGCGGGATGAACAGGACCAAGACCAAGAATAAGGGATGCTTCCTTAAGGCTTGAAGCAGAGGAGGATTTCGACACTGGGTTCATAGACAATTCATAGACAATCGTCATCAAATTGGGGCAATGTGTCGATCGGAAATTATCATGTGCAAGACTCGTCTTTCTCTGGAGAAAGTAGGAAATGCTCATCAATTCATGCTACTGAAAATGCATATTGTGCATGTTTGTTGAACTTGACGACAAAATGTTTGCATGCATCGAAATAAGGCACCTTCACCTGCCCAGCAGCAGCGGCCTGAGGATGAGGACAATAAGCAACCAGACCCTTAATTCATTCTACCCAAAGACGTAGAAATAGATACGTCGTACGTACATATAAGGCAAGGTAAGAAAAAGGAAGTGCGTGGATTGAGGAGCATCTGCTTTTCTCTTTCTTGGGCCATTGTGGTGATTACTTTTATTAGCTGTTCTCCAGGCCCACTACTGCTCCCGCACCTTTTGCTTTGGTTTGCCAAAGCCAAGGCACCACCACGAAACCATGGTACATACGCATTGACTCATTCGTCTAGGAAGAGCAGACCCTTGCTCATACATTTTGAGGCCTTATTTGGTACCTTGGAAAACATTATCTACGAAACGGTTAGGTAGGACAGATTGAGCTTAGGAAAAGAGAGGACGACGGGTTCCACGCAACTCGTCTACTCCCGATGGGATCAGGGAGCCAAGATGCTGCATGGCGTAGGAGGGTCTCAGCCAAGAACGAGATCTCTGCATCGATCAGTAGCGTTCCCTTTTCAGAGGATGGAGAAGAAAAGGTTTCAGTTAATTCGAGAAGTTCTCTTTAAGTTTTTTCTCCTTTCCTGGAGTGATGGGACACTGTGTAGTCGTATCGTAGTAAGTGTAGTAATGACTGATGAGACCAAGATGAAGGGACGCATAAGAAAACATAGTGTAATACCCACACCAACCACCACCACCTGTCCTTTCCGTCCGTGCCACGCCAACCCATCAAGGTCTCAGAAATCTTGGCCAGCTGCAAATCAAGGACATAATGTTTTTCTTTTCAATCTGCTCCCGTTCGGTCAGGAATAGCATAAGGAAGCTCCAGAAGGAGGAAGAGGACGATGGAGCGAAAAAACGATGTACTTCTTTCTTTCTTTCTTTGCCGCTTTAAATCTCCATCGGGAAATATACATCGAAATTTTGAAAAATTTTGTATTTAAAAAAAGAAGATGAGTTTTAGTAGCTGAGATAGCGTTGCGCGTAACACGGAAGCGGTGATTACAATTACGTCGAGTGCAATGTCATGGCGGATAATGATACCCGTACCGATGACGATGATTATGAGATGTCACATCTCCTTGTCCGTATCATAGTAGTTGTTTTATTGCTCGTTGTAAATACATCTCACCACTTGTCTCCGCCTGGATATTGATTGACCCACGAAGAAGGGACCAAGAACTGAAAAAGCATAAGTACATACGATGCAATACTGAAGATAGATGAAGGAAGGAGATAGTTTCCTTACCGGCTGGCTCTTTCTCTTTGTACTTGGTCCATAAAATTTGGAAATGGAAATGAATCCAGTAAGAAATGGATGGATTTGGATAGTGGAGATTGTATGGTATGGAAATTTGGGGTAAGAAAGAAATTGTATCGTGCCATGAAATCTCATCCCTTAGGAAATTTAGGGGCAAAGAAAAGTTATCTGAAGTGGATCGCATTTATTCGATAGCAAGCAAGTCGCTTGGTTGGTTTGAGCTATCATTTTCCCTCATCTGGACACGACAAGTTCTTAAGCTATCTGGCGAACCGAACAAGGTTTCAGGATAAGCAAGCGTCGATTTAGGGCTACCGAATTGTGTTTTGTGTGAGGAGGGTATCCACGATTTAATGAATTATTGATTCTACATATATCCATTACACAAAAATCAAAAAAAGAGTAAGATGCCTTAAGCTCAAGTGGTCGGCTACTCACTCCTGTTAATCAAACTGGTAGGAATAAATCCACTCTAAAAATCTTGCCTCTAGGACAAAAGAACCCATTCTTTCTCCGGCTGTTATCTAATCTAACGATAATTTCCACTTGAACCATGTAAATCTATTCAAAAGTCAGGCAATTTTACAGAAAACTAAACCATTAACTTATCATCAGCTATCCGTGCGTAGTAATCACCCCAAGAAAAAGAGATTCAAGTAAAGAGATCAGTATACGTATTTACCATCATAGGCAAGGATGACCTACCTCAACAGCAATAATGTAGAAAGGGTTGAATTAGAGCAGCATATGGCTTTCTTCGTACACATGCATGCGGTTGGCTCTCGGAGTAAGAAGTGCTCAGCACTATGTACTTCTTATCTTTGTGGTTGTGAAATTGTGTTACGAGCAAATAAAGGAAGTCGCTGAATGTTATTGTAATGAGTTGGGTTAACTCTGACTGAGAGCTGTGTGTAAGTTTACAAAAAGCAGAAATCACAGGCCAAGGTTATCATTATTTCTTACGGATAACATCACGTATGAACAGGTAGTAATGTTCAATAGCTAATGCGTATAAGCGGTGGGGGTTGAGTGTGTGAGCGAGATAAAAAGGCGGCCTATCCCACGGGATGAAAACAAAGGAGAAAGTGGGGGTAAAAAATCAACAGGTACAAGAGCGACAAAAAACAGGGTTTGATTGAGGAACACGGAAACAGGAAGCAGGTTGTGGGTCGTACTTACGCAACCACCCCGCCAGTGGCTAAGGTTCTGCTGCTGCTGCCTGTTCCGGAAGTGTCCTGCATTTCACGTCTCCACACCAGATTCCTTCAGGCTCTGAGCGTATGAGGAGGAACATGTGTGTTACGTATGATGTTTATCACCTCGCTTTCCCACGACCACGACTCTCTCATTATTCAATCCAATCCACCCTTATTAGCGATTGGCGTAGTATGCATGTAGACCATATCAAGTATACGATATCGTGCGAGTTGAGTGGGTTTATCGGCCTGGAATAACAATGAATGAATGAATGAATGAGCAGCGAAAGTGCGTTTGTAGGTCATTGAAATAGTGTGGGAGTTGGAGGGAGGGAGACAAGTTGATATTTGGGTGGGAGGGGATGCATAATATGTAACGGAGCTAATTGATCATGGACATGAAATGATGAGAATGACATTTGCAAAACCGAAATAAATTCGTAGCTACTACGGTATATTTGTTAATTTTTTAAGAAGTCTGACATTGACAACTCTCCTGTTTGGCTTGCTCTGTAATATTGACTAATTGTAAGACTCGAAATTTTCACTTCTTGTAAACTATATACTGTTCTGTTGTAAAGTAATGATGATGATTATCCATCACCTCAGCCCTGCATACTTTCCGTGATGTTCATTCATTCATTTATTCCAGATTGGTAAGAGGAGTGAAGAGTTGTGTCAGATTTTCAGTCGGTTTGCCTGAAAGTTAGTGAATGGGATCACGTCCAGATTTAGATAGTGGTTGGACACCGGAAGCCGTATGTTGTAGGTCGCAGGCAAGGCTACGGCTGGGGCCTGAGAACAGATATAGAGCCCTCATCTCCCGTTTCCTTTCCTCCTACTCCCGCCAACGCAGATAACCTTTGTCCTGCTGAAAGCACAGAAGATGGGTTGACTTTTTATCACGAATTATTATGATGCCTGAGGGGAAGAGCCTTCGATTTGTGCAGGATCACGTCAGCTGGCATCTTCTTAGGAACGGAAGCTACAGACAGGAGCAACCTTTGGTTTTTCATCTTAGTTTCTTGAGACACCATAATGCCAACGAGTCACAAAATTATTATTGTCCATCACGGCCAAGTCTGGATGGGCATAATGCATCTTCTCTTCGTCTGCGAATTGGAGAACCATACTGTTCTCTTTAAATATGTCTCGTCTGCTATGCATCTGTCTGGATGGCTTCGTGGTTTCCCTTTCGACCAGTTTTTAAATCTTCAACGTATGGACAGGGAGACACATCTGTGCAGGACCATCGTATAATTTCTTGGTTTGAACTACATTTGAGAATCCATGAGAACAAGAGGAAAGCCGATTTTAGAGGAACCTTTAAAATAGAGATTTCTTGTACGACTTGTGAGAATTATCTCATTTTTACATGGTGATGATCCCATGAATGAACAGCCTTGTAGTTTTCATAGGTATTGGTCCTTTCTTCCCACAGGTTTCGTTTCACTTCCTCTCAATCCACTACTTCCGCAATCGTTGAGAACCGTGCCGTGTCCCTCTTGATGAAAACAAGAAGAGTCCGAGGAGCATATCAAATTCCCTGTTTTCGCCCTATTCTATGTGGCACTTGAAACGATTTTACAAAGAAATGTACTCATCCAATCCAATTGATGTATTGAAATTGAGGAAAATCTAGATTACTACAACATGCCAGCTCTTGGAC